GGTGGTGAGGATTGTGTGGACGATGGGGGATGAAGAATGTACATCCTGTCGATGATTGTTCCATCATCTGCATTTTGCACACAGCCTGGACTGGAGAAGTGTGTCGGGATACCTCGAAGAGTTAAATGTTTATTAGTTCAGACTGTGTGCCGAGCAAATGTTGATGATGGAACAATAGCAACTTGTCTGCAGTCAGATATCTTAAACCTTCATTTGTCAGTGCATAGTGTTACTGAAGGTCCTGTAAGCTGCTGTTTCAAAGTCAAACAAGATAACCGGTTAAAAATCAAAGTGTGGTATAAAAACAAAGCTTCAACACACACACAAACACACACACTAAGCTTCGACTCAAGCAGTGACATAGCACCCTGCCAGCTGATGCACCACCAGTGTTTTTGCAGCTGTTCAAACAGCTCTGTCGAGCGTGGAAGCCACTTCACACTGGAGCTCAGCCAGCTGATCGCACACTTGCTTGAGGATTGTGTTGCACACTGCATGGCAGTTATCAGCGTTAGTCAACCATTGTCATTCAACCTGCCCCCGGTGTTATTTACACTCCACCTTGAACTAAACACTGCGGTTGGCTGCATCGCTGGGTCCATTTGTTGTTTGGTGTAGTTACAGTTGCAATGACCACATGGATCTAAAAGAAACATGCAGGCACACACTTCCATTCATTTATTTTCTCACATACTTGCAGTCTGCCCTCTAGTAGCCACGAGGAGATACTGTAGTGTCCACAAGGCACAGCAGCTCGCTCATTTTAATGAAATGACATTTTTGAAAGCAGCACCTAGTTGCTTTTTTCTAGGGATTGTTGAAAGGCATTCTGGGAAGCATAGGAAATCACTTAAGTGCATGGGGCAGTTTAAGAGCAAGCAGATTCAACAAAGTGAGTTAAGCTAAGGGAGCGTAACTGGAACATCACAGATATCCATGTCTTTTAGCAAAGTATGTTTTTATCCATTACATTACACGTTGTCAGTGTTACAAAAGGTTACAGAGAACCACTACAGACATTTCCTCACATACAGAAAGACTTATATGCTTCAATACTGTGTAAAAATACAGTAAAAACACCTCTTCTTTTTCCTTGACACCATCACTACCACCATCTCTAAACTGCCCCCAATCAGTCCCTAACCTCTTCACAAGGTCAAACACATATGTTTTTTCCACTTGTTTATTTATTTATAATTTTTCCCGCAAAAGGTCGCTTTTCCATCAACTTCTGCACGCACAGGGTAAACTTGGATTTGTGTCCTTTTTCCTCTCTGTGTTCTCAGCGCCCTTTTTTGTAGGGTAACGACACTTTGTGTTACTTTTACCTCAACCAAAATAAAGCTGTGTTGAATTAAAGGAAAGTAACAGCACAGTCAGTTTTGGTTATGGTTAAGAAAACTGACTGCAAATCACCACTGCTGTAATTAAGTAATGTAGCTACTCATAAGAAAACTCCAGATGACTGTGTCGGCAGTTATAATCAAGCAAAACCTCAACATGGGGATCATTTCATCAGATCAGAAACAAGTGATTTTGTCTTCATGCCCACCTTTACATCCTGGTCCCTGCAAAGTAAATGCATCAAGGTTAATTAGATGAAGGCGTAAACCACTCTCTTCCTCTAACTGACGCCAGTGAAGTGTCCAGTTTCATGTACATTTAAGTGTTGGTGTAATTTTTCTCCCAGATTATCTTTTCTGTATTACAGAAATGCCAATGGGTTGTAAAATAAAAAAATCACAGATCTCATTTATTTACAATGGCTCCAGTGATGTGACTACAGAGTGTTTGGGGTTTAGGTATTGGTACCTGGAGAGGTGTACAGTGTCAAAATCAAATTTAATCATTCACAATGTTGGTAAGACACACATTAACAATGCAATACAAGTAAGAAATTTTTGGAGGAAGAGTTAGATTCAAGAATGAAATGTTAATCTTCTCTGTGAATCTATTAGATCCTGTTTGAGTGACAGGTTTTTGGCAGCTCATACATGTCTGCACGTCAGACTTCACACATCCAGAATATAGTTAAAAAACAGAATAATTAAGGTACTTTGCTTCTACAGAGGAGGACATTTGCATTTGACGTTCTAATTCCTTAAAATCCTGTATAAAGAGAATCAGCATCAATGCTGTTTTTGATCTTTTTCTTTGTAGTTTGACTTGTCAAGAGTCAGGCCTTGATTTGCTTTGAATATAGCCCACAACTGGGACATATCTGTCAAAATGTAAGGCCTGACAAAGCACAGGCTGAATACATAAAACAGTGCATGTGTGTGCAAATGCAGCATACAAATGCCCAGGCCCTGCTTCTGATGGCACTGCTCCTGCTGATCAGCTAAGATGTAGGATAAGTTGGACAGGAAGCCCGTCTATTAGCTGCATATCTCCACACATGCCTCAATGGTCCAAAGTGGTCGTGTAAGAATGTTGTCATCCCAATATAATAAGACAGTTGTCTCCTCTTTTTATCCAGTCTGAAGAAAAAAATGTCTGGAGCTCTTTCAGACAAAGTGGTCATTCTGAAATGTTCCAGACACTATTTACAGGGCGGAGCTTCTTCAGTGTCCACGCTGCATAACAACAATACTAGCAACATAACAAATATGCAATAACAGAGCAGTAACAAACCCTCCAGACATGTTTAAGCCAGGTATTAAAAAATAAAAAATCATAAGTTGTGTCTGATATTATTTTTTGTTTTTGCAAAAAAAGGTTAAATGTCATGGTTAAAGTGCCTTGCTCAAGATTCAAAAAATGTTATTGTCCCCGAGGGAAAATTTGCCTTACAGACTAGTCCAACACAAATACATAAAATGCAATACAAACAACACAGCACAAGATCCGTATCTCCTACACTGATGTTGTAAATCATGGGAAAAAGACACAATGACATGACATCCGGGGTTATAATCTGTTTAAAAAACAACTGGCCCAACAGATGGAAAAATCTGTATTAGTGCTACCTTGGGGAGACTAAACTCACTGATGGAAGCATCTGGAACTCAACGTGTAAAGAATAACGATGGTCCAAAGCAGTCTGTGCTTGAGGTTACCCTCACTTTATACAAGTGCCAAAGGTCATTTAGGGTAGTACTGGTAATTTTATGGCATGGCTTGACAAATTTTTCCAGTTTGTACCTCTTTTCAAGACTGAAACTGCCAAAGCAGCAAATCATATAAAAAGAAAGGGCAGACTCAATAAAAGAATAATAAAACATTTTTATTGAGAGCATCCTGGTTGCATTAGTGAAGTGAATTACATCCATAATTCACTCTCTAGTACAAAAAATGTGAGAAACGGAAACAGACTCAGTGGTCACTTTATTAGGTACATCTGTGCAATCCAGTGCAATCTAATACAACTCTTATGCCATAAAGTCTGCTTTTATTATGCACATAATATTCACTTTTCTTTAGACCCTCACAGGGGATAAGGAAAAACTTCCCCCAAAAAACCCTTTAATGGGGAAAAAATGGTAGAAACCTCAGGAAGAGCAACTGAGGACCACACAAGTTACTGGTGTTTTGTGCTGGACTGTTATATTGTGGAGTGTTTCTAACATTCTGACCCCATGTATGTAAATGATGTAAAGGACAAAAAATAGAAACATCACTTAAGTAATGAAAATAAGAATTAATTTACATATTTCCTACATTGTCTGCAAAAACACAATATTCTAAACTTTGAAAAGTCAGAATATGTGTATTAAATTGCAATGGCTTGTATAGGTGTACCTAAAAGTGGCCAGCTAGTATATTTAGTAGGGATGCACAATATTGGATTTTTTTTGCTGATATCCGATATGCCGATATGTAACAACTCATTTGATCAATAATCAGTACTGATATTTATATATCCACTTTTTCGCCTATCTAATTTTCGTGATCATCAAGTCTCTTCTGTAGTAGAATTAACATCATATTATGCATGCATACCCATACTCGTATGATGGCCCACCAACAGATGGAGACATGAAAAAGAATGCTTTAAAAATGCATGTAATATTAATTCATCATGCAAATTAAGAAAAAGCATGTTGGCCAATTCTAATAGTTCATTTTAAAGCCAATATCGGCCAACACTGATGACTTGCTGATATTATCGTACATCCCTAATATTTAATATTTTATTTTTTGTTTGTTTGGAGTGCTCAGGGAACATGTCCTCTTCAAAATTTAGAACATATGCATTAAAATAAATACAGTACAATGCAACAAAAGCATGAAAGTAGCAGAGGATTTTTATTTTGACAAAATTAAAGTCCTTTTTACCATAAATTGATGCAAAAAAAAAAAAATTGTTCAACATTTTCTGGGGGACTTCTAGCCCTCCCATTTGAAGTGTCTTTCCCAATGCTGAAACGAACCCTACGCCCTTGGATGCGATTCAAAAAGTCTTTTAGAGAGCTCAATAAATGATGTCATCAGAGACGTCACGGCAGGAAGTGGTCCATTGAAAGTGAACGGGAGAGGAGAGTTTGTGGGGAAAGGATGGATGGATGCCAGCACACACAGCCTGTGATACAATGAATACATCTCGTCTAAATAAAAAAATAAATAAAAAAAATACAGTCTATAGTGTAGGCCTACTACTAATAGTAATAGTAATAATAATAGCCTACTACTACTACTACTACTAATAATAATAATAATTATTATTATTATTGTAGGCTGATAATTATAGAAATAACACAAGTAAGTAAAAATTGGTTGGTTTAAAAAGGAAAAAACAAAAATGTCAGTACTTGCAGTATAATTAGATTTGACTTTGAGTTTTATTTTAAAGGCATACATAGCCAGAACTTCACAAACAAACCTGTGTGTGTAAATCCCCAAAAAAGTCCATTCAACATGCACTTTAATCTCACTAGTGTGATAAAAACATTAAGAGAGGTTTCCATCCGTGGAGGGAACAAAGAGTTGAGTGTGTTGAGCTGAAGCCCGCTGTTGTTTTTAGCCACAGTCACCCCCTGCACCCCCGCCCCATCTCTGCTGCTGCCTCCTTTTCATTTGCTGCCTTTCTTATCCCGCCTGTGTGTGTGCGCCGCATCCATACCAAGATCCTCTGACTCCTTCTCCACATGTCCCCGCAGCTTGCACCGGATTTCATTACATAATTGAGCTCGTATCACCTCAGAAACACGGGGCTCACGTCGCGTCTGACTGACAGCTGATCGGCGCTTTTACGGTAAGTGGGCCTGATGGTGAAATCGATCGGGGGGTTGTGGGTGATTTGTAGCGTGGCTTTTACACATCCAGTCCTTTTATTCTCTGTGTGCCGGGCAGACGGCGTCGTTTCACGGCGGTATTGTGATTCAAAAGCTGGGGTGGTTGTCTCTAACTCCGAGCACAGATTCACCATCTCAGCCGTCTTGTTTATATATANNNTAATAATGCCGCATTTTGGTGCCACATTTTTTGGCATCACTTGAGCATCCTCTCGCCTTCTTGTCTCAAGCTGCCACAGTGTGAGAATGTTCTGGAAACAACCCGCCTGAAGGGCTTTTATTCTGTAGTGAATTATTTAAGCTCTGCCAGCCTCACTTTTAAACAAATTTAAGCATGAAACAGGCCATTTGTCTTTTTAAAAAGGCAAATTTAAAGTTTAAAGACAGGCACCGTGTGTGTGTGTGTGTGTGTGTGTGTGTGTGTATGTGTGTATGTGTGCACACAGAGGAGTTGACGTGCCTCCCATGCTGATGCAGAGGAGTACAGACAGCCACAGTGCCCTGGTTTCACAGGGAGGTGCTTTTGGCCTTTTGTCTGTCTTCTCAAACCTCCTCCAGCTCCCTTCTTCCGTCCTCCAGCCCAGTCTGTGATCTGGCCTCTTTTTTTCTCTCTCTCACCCCTCCTCTCCTGATGAAATGTTTCACCAACTCATCCCACACAGAAGCACTGCAGACTCATTAAACAAGTCCATTTGCTGGCCCTAATAAGAGAGCCAATGAAAGAGGAGCTCAGCTGAATTATTATTTAGGCTACATATTTATGCTATGTCATCCATCAGCGGTGTTATCAGTCCTCCTCCTCCCTGTGTCATGATCATGACAGATGTGTGTGTTCACACTATCCAACATGATACTGGGAGGATAAATAAAAGCCCCACTCGTCAGCCATCTTTCCCCAAAATGAGCTTATAAACCGGAAGGATTAAGTCCACTCCTGTGATGATGGGGGGACCTCTGAACTCTTGTACTATTTGGATGTGCCAGAACGAAGCCAGCCTAAACACAAAAGTAAGATTTGCCCTTTGCTCATCCTCTATTTTAATCCATTTGGCAGGGAAAATATGTTTCTCCAAAGGATAATGATAGAGCCATAAGGTATTTTCAAGAAGACTGTTGAAATGGCCTTGGAAGACATTTACAAAGAACTAAGGAATATATGAATGCTACATCAAAATTACTCACTCAGAAAGTGTCTTATATTACCCATAAATGCTACCCTGCAGTAGCATACATAAGAATCATATAACAGATGATGATTAAACCTGATTTTAATGTCAGTTGTTTCTCCTGTAAAGCACAATATGACACACACTTATGATCAATAGCATTTGCACAGCCCAGTCACCAGAGGAAAATGTTGGTATTGTACATTTATGCAAACTACAGACATATGACGGCAGTAGTTCAGTCCAGGGACTTGGTTTGGGAAATGGAGGATTGCCTGTTCAAGTCCCTGTTCAGGCCAAATATCAAGTGTGGACTGGTGGCTGGAGAGGTGCCCTTGTGCAAGGCATCAAACCCCCCAACCACTCAGGGTGCCTGTCCATGGGCAGGCTGTCACTCTAATGTCATAATGCATGTACAGTATAGGTCCTGTTGGTGCATGTGTGTGTGTATTTCGGGCCTGAGTGTATATGTATATGACAACAGAGTGAAATAAATTAGTTATTTATTTATCACCTGGTATGTCTGTAGTTTATTTTAGTACTCTAAGTATTTTATTTTCTTAGTGATTTTATCAGTGAAGTGGTGCATTGAACAAGTATTGTGTTGTCTTTTTGGTTGCATGTTGTTGTGGCTGTTGTGTTGTTGCTGCAGCAACAAATTCATTTCCTGGAAAGGATCAATAAAGTTGATTTGATTTGATCTGATATAAAATCTGATATAAAAAGTGTTTTCTGCATTACTTCTGAAGCTACCAGAGTGTTCTAGCTGTTCTACTGTCTATCTTTACCCACTTAATCATTATATCCACATTACTAGTGGTTATTTAACAAGATCACATTGTGTGAATATTTTATGAAAGCACCAATAGTCATCTCTGAAATATCAATACTGAGGTATTTGGTCAAAAACATTGTGATATTTGATCCCCATATCCCCAGCCCTTCGGATCATATCAGTGTTTTTAAAGTGACATAATTCAGAGTACATGTATATGAATGGTGGACAGAATGGTGGATGGCCTGACGCCTAAGTTGAGGAGCTACCAAGCAGCAGAGCACTGTTTGACACCAGACATGTTTTTTAACGGCATGTTGGGACATTTCCAACGCTGCTTGTGGCGACAACAACTGGGTACTTTAAGCCAAAATATGAGCTTTTCCTAACCATGCCAAGTGTTTTTTTATGCCTAAACCAAACCACATATTAGCCACAGCATAATCCCAACATAAAATTAAAGACTGAAATGCAAAGAAACTTAACTTTTCAACATTTTGTCTGAAGTGTACAAATGTAACATATCCGTGATTAACAGAAGCAATGCCAACATTTATTCTAGCAATTCAGCTGCATTTGCAAGACTTTATTCTCTATATTATCATGACTACCATCGTTTTTAGCTCAGGGAAGTTAATTTACAATATGACAAGAATGGCATTGTAAAGAGAGCAAAGACACAGAAGTAGTAGGTGATATCATTCTACCCTTAAACTCAGGCAATAAATACTTTTTATCGTCATCTGTAAAATCACCCCAAGTCAACCATAAAAAGTAGACCTGCTATATACCTGCAGGAACACTGACTCAGGGCAACCAGGAGAAATGCTAGTTTTCTAGCATGCTAAATTAAGATGGTGAACATGGTAAACATCACTGTCTGCTTAGCATCAGCATGTTAGCATTGTCAATATAAGCCTGTATAGCTCAGGATGACTTGCTGGTACCACAGGTTCAAACAAACAAGCGTCCGTATTGGCATTAAAACTCCTCATCAAGTACAAGTCAGCAACATCAGCTGGGAGGAGAAAACATTTACAATGAGATATTTGTCATCAGCTGACAGTTCACTCAATAAGCTTCATTTCAGCCCGGCAGATAGAGGCTCGATCAGTGAGGAGACATGAGGGTTACATGACGATGAGTGGTGACGAATTTTAAAAGCAATGCAGATGGGAATAATTAGAACACTAATGCTAACCTTTTCAAAATAATTGTAACACGTTAAACACACACACACTCCTCTCAGAGCAAAGTGATGTATTGCATTGGTGACATGAAGTGTGCACACATGCCATCGCAGCCTTGTTGACTTCTGCCTCAGGAAGCTTTAAAGCCTCCAGCCTGCGACCCCACTGTCCAGCATAAAAGACAGCACCAGTCACGCCATGCTCACACAAACTGCTATGTTTAGACTGATAGCGAGGGAGGCCGAGTGTGTTATTGAATGGAGGCTGTGGGATTCACTCTGACACACATGGATTCGTCACTCTCTGTCAAACACTCTGCAGATGTGACATCAATATTAAAATTCACAGGGAGGTGGCTGCTAATAACCTCGACAACACATCCACCCACGTCTGTGTTGCAGGGCACTGTGTAACTTCTGCAGAACAATGCCCTGCAGCCTTTTGTATTTGTAGTAAGTGTTAAAATCATGGGCCCACTAATGATACACACATCACAACTTCTGGTTACAACGTGATAATTGGGGTTGTGTCACAGCACAGTGACAGAGCTCATTTTTCCTAAAATTACTGAAACGCTTCAGAGAGCAGCTCGATGTTTGAGTACACATGGTAAAGAGCGGTCCTGTAATGGATGTCAGTCTTGTGCGAGTGGGGATTTTAATATAACAAAGTGTGATGAGCCGAGCCGAGGCCCCCCAGGGCAGGATTGTTATTTACATCATCTTGGGACCTTTTCAAAGCCGGCAAGATCACAATCTGGTGCTCGGAAATCGAATTGCTTTGTTACTCTCATTATTCTCACAGTAGCTTCCAGCTGTTGTGCGCCTGGTTGTTATGTCTAGAACCAAAGAATAATCCACTCTGAAACGCTGCTAAAATCAGCTGTTGGTTATTTTCAGAGCCAATGTTATAGTCCGTTTGTGATTATTTGTACTTATGTGACAACTTAAACAATATTTTTCCCCACATAGCTACAATAGAGTGTCTGGAAACCTTTAAAGTGACAGTTTACCCCAAAATCAAAAATACATGTTTTCCCTCTTCCCTGTAGTGCTATTTATTAATCCACATTGTTTTGGTGTGAGTTGCTGAGTGTTGGAGATATCGTCCGTAGAGATGTCTGCCTTCTCTCCAATATAATAGAACTAGATGGCACTCAGTTTGTGGTGCTCAAAGCGCCAAAAAAATCCATCTGAAAAACTCAACAGCAATGTCTCTTTCAGGAACTCATGACCCTCAAGATAATCCACAGACCTTGGTGTGAGCAGTTTCATGTAGGAAATGTTTTCTTTCTACTGAACTACACCCACCAACGGTATCACTGTGCAGAAGGAAGCGTGCATCTACTCATGGATGAGAGGCTCATGCTTGTGACAGTGTGAGATGTAAACATTAATGGTGTCCTCCTTGGCTGAGCTGTAACGTTAGCTAGCTCAGTGGTGCTAGGTGAGCTAGCAGTAAATGCACACTTCCTTCTGCGTAGTGATACTGTTGGTGGGTGTAGTTCGGTAGAAAGAAAATAGTTCCTACATGAAAGTGCTCACAACAAGGTCTGTGGATTATCTTGAGTAACTGGGTCATGATTTCTGGAAAAAGACATTGCTGTCGAGTTTTTCCAATATATTTTTTGGCACTTAGAGCACCACAAGATGAGTGCCATCTGGCTCCATTATATTTGAGAGAAGGCAGACATCTCTATGGCCGATATCTCCAACACTGTGCAGCCCACACCAAAACAACCTAGATTGATAAATAGCACCATAGGTAAGAGGAAAAATATGCATTTTTGATTTAAGGGTGAATTGTCCCTTTAATTGGTGTCAGGCTTAAAAATCAAAGCGCAGAGGCATATCCAGACTCACTATTTAGCACCAACATCCAACATCCATACAGTGACAAATCTCTTGTGTAAGATGCACCAAGAACAAGATGTAAGTGCCTCAGAGGACCAAAATACAAAGCATTCAGATGACATGCTGTATTTTGAGTAAGACTCTCGGTTATGGGTCCAGAATATATCAGTTACCTTATCAGTACTGGGCCTTCAAAATGTGTTATCCTCATCTAACAGTATCATAAACATGCCTGATACATGGCATTAGGTTGATGAAGTGTGATATTTAAGTTCTGTGACAATGATTTCTTATATAATCCAGGAGACTTTCCAATAGTTTATTTACTCTAAGAAGTTAGAGATTTGTATGAACTCATAAAGGAACATTTAATCCTTCTGTTTATCTGAAATGTTCAAAGTCACCATATTTGGAGATTTCAGTGGACAGACACCATACATGTGCTTGCCTGCTTTGGAAAAAAAAAAAGATATCTAACAAGGTTTGCATTTCTAAAAGCTCTCGTGATGACTGAAGAGAGGCGGTGTCTCCCTTTGTATTTAGTAAGTTGAGGCAACAGTGTGATAGTCAGCGTGCTCTACATTTCCAGTATAGCAGTTTACATATATCTTTAAGTTACTGCAGGCATTTGGAAACATGGTAGTGAGCAGGATGGGTGCTAATACATCACTGTTTATAGATATCTGCAGCTGCACCAAAGCACACAGTTTAATTGTGACATATTATCAACCTTTGCTATTTAATAACCTCTCTTTCTCTCTCTTTATTGAAGGGTATTGCTGCTCCACCCCTCCACCCATAAGATCTCTCCAGCCTTACACACACTTCTGCCATGCAGGAGGTGTAACCCTCCTCCCTCTTCTTCCTTGTGCACTATCGGAGGAGACCTTAGACAGAAAAAAAAATCCCAACCTGTAACCAGTCAAGATGTCAGACCAAGATGCCTCTTCACCGGCAGACCAGGCGCTGCCGCTCACCTCGCCCCGAACCCCCCTGCAGCTCTCCTTTCCCTTCATGAGGGAGGGCAGTCGGGTTTGGGAGAGGGAGAGGAAACCACCGCAGCCTGGAGAGCTGCCCAGCCCACTGCCCACCAAACGCACCCGCACATACTCAGCGTGAGTCGGAGAGATCTGCATATCTTTTGCTATTGTGCATCATATTTACTTGAACAATAGAAAAGCTTAAAATAATTATGGTAATATTTATGATGCACTGTTCCTTTTTCTCTCCCTCTGTTTCCATCTATGTCTCTTTCTCTGCAGGACAGTGCGAGCCAGATCAGGTCCAGTGTTTAGAGGGGTGTGTAAAAACTTCTCCAGGTCTCAGGGTCATGGATTCATACGTCCCTCTCATGGAGGAGAGGACATCTTCGTCCACATCTCTGAGTGAGTGAAGATGTTTAGTTTACACTGTCAGGGTTTTCATGGCATGTGTAGGATTACTAAACACAAATGAACATGCATTGACCAGGAAGAGACTCAAAATGGTCACGAAGAGATGCAAAGGAACTGCAAAGAGACACAGGATGACTACAAAAAGGGGCAAAACAACTGAGATGCAAAGTGACTTCAAAGAGACACAACATAACCTCAGTGTGTCGGTAAAGATTCTGAGTCATCCGGGTCATTATTGGTTTGGGCTCTACAGAATGGAGGAATGAAACCTTTAACTTACAGAACAGCATGTTCAACATTTTAAGATATTTATAATATGATATTTCCACTTCCAGGGATATGAGAGTTGATGGTACAAAAGACACTGTCACTATCTGTCAGTAGCAAGCCTCCCAACATTATGGAAGTGCTGTACTAACTTGCTAGAGCACCAGTTTGGGAGCAGGACACTGAGACAGTACCAGCTCAGAAAAAGTCATGGGCCATGAATGAGGTTTGTAATGTTGTTTGTGTTTCCTGGACAGCATCGATGGAGAGTACGTGCCTATGGAAGGGGACGAGGTCACGTACAAGGTGTGCCCCATCCCTCCCAAGAACCAGAAGATCCAGGCTGTCGAGGTGGTGATCACCTACCTGAATCCAGGCACCAAGCACGAGACCTGGTCAGGCCAGATCATCAGCTCCTAGACCAGCGCTCTGAGCCGCAAAGCTGCAAAAGCAAAGGGGGATTTAGTCTTAGGTGTTATTCTTTTTGGGGTGTTAAGTTTCGAACCAGGTCTGGGGAAGAGGGATCAGAGTGTGGCGTGTCGCGGAGTTCAACCTAAGGTGGCTTAGTTATTTAGTAGCGTTGGTGGAAGTTTGAGTTTGAGGTCAGCGCTGGAAATTAAACTTTGAATGTATTCGTTTGAATGTTTTTCTTTGATGGTCATGATTTGGGTTTGAATGTTTTAATTTGAAGGTTAGGGTTCAGGGCTTGGTGATAGAAATTTTATTTTGACTTAAGGGATATATTTTAGTTGGGAAACCAGTGGTTTAGAGGTGAGCGATTTGTCTTTGATGAGATGACAGAGGCCGAATCACATTTTGAGAAAATTTGACCCAGTTCGCTATATAAATACACTCCATTTGTGCACGACAGACAGAAGAGTTTAAAGTTAAAATCTCAAAGATTTTAATTTAAATTGTTTGTTAAGTCCAATCACCAAATGAGGTAACACAATAGTGACTGGGCCTATAGCCCACTACGAAAGCCCTTGCATTTGCAGTATCATGTGTCTGTGGCGACCAGTGCTGGGCGTACTACCATTACTACTGTAGCTACTGTCATCACATTACATTTGTCTGTAATGCAGTAATCTAATGCATTACAGTTCTAAATTCAGTAATCACATTACAGTTACTAATCAAACAATCATGTTATGTTTACATCACATAAGTTCTTCAATTATCTGCATAATGGGCTGAGAGAAAAGGTTAACCAACATGCTGAAAAACAATTTTAGAGGCTACTTCTCTTTAAGTATAACCTGTTATTCAGTAATACGTCAAATGCAGCCAACTAATCTACCATAAAGCCTTGGTTTGGTGAGCGAGTGTTCAGTGCAGTTCATATGCTGTTTAAATGTGTTTTTTACCTTTTTAGTCTGTCATCATTTATTGGTCTTAAGAAGGCCAGTCACTTATATTTTTTATTTAGGCAATTAATATTTGTTCAATGCGGTTTTAGGAAACCAAACCTCTTTATATATTGATATAGTTTCATTTTGAGGCAGTTATAGGCAGTGCCATCCTGATTCTCCTGATCCTTGTTTGGTGCTGATATGTGGGCACATGTGAGGTTTAATGTTAATTTGCTAACTTGCAAATACACCAATCAGCCAAAACATTAAAACCATTGGCGGGTGAAGTGAATAACATTGATCATCTTGTAACAGTGCAATGTATTGCTGGAAAACCTTGGGTCCTGGCATTCATGTGGATGCTACTTGAAGTGCTCCAGCACTTGTCAATGGCAGTGGTCCCCCAGCAGGACAGTGCATCACGCCACACCTCAAAAACTGCTCAGGAATGACAAAGAGGGACAAAGAGCTCAAGGCATCGACCTGTCCTGCAGATACCCCAGATACCAATCTGATCTAACATTTGAGGAACCTTCTGCCCCAGAGGTACCCCCCGATCGATGGTGAGTGCTCCTTGGAGCAGACTTGGCTCTGACCTGTCAAGACATAGACACAGGATCTCTGGTGGTGTCCAATAATTTCTGGCACCAAGGCGTTAGCTTTAGGTCTTTTGAGTCCTGTAGGTTGTGGGGTGAAGTACCAGCACATCCCACAGATGTTTGATCAGATTGGGATCTGGAGAATTTGGGGGTCAGGTCGACGCTTTGAGCTCTTTTTGTGCTCCTTGGGCCATTCATGAGCAGTTTTTGTGGTGTGGCATGGCGCATTGTCCTGCTGGGGGGCCACTGCTACCGGGGAGTGTCGCTGCCATGAAGGGGGGTACCTCTTCTGCACTGGTGTTGAGGTGGGTGGAGCATGTCAGATGGCAACCACATGAATGTCAGAGCCCAAGGTTTCACAACAGAACATTGCACTGTACCAAGCTGATTAATGTGTTCACTTCACCTGTCAGTGGTTTTAATGTTTTGGCTGATCGGTGTACTGTATGTGACAATGCATTTCAGGTGATGTTGTGGAGTAATGTAACAAGTAGTGTAAAGAATTACTTTCTGCAGGGAGTAATTTGGTAAAGTAATGCATTGCTCTTTTTAAAAGTAGTGAGTAGTATGTAAAACGTTACTTTTTTCTTTTTCTTTTTCTTTTTTTTTTTTTTTGAGTAACAACCCCAGCACTGGTGGTGACATTTTTGGGAAAAGTCACATTGGTTTGTCCACCAGAGAGGGTAGGCGGAGCTAACGCAAAAACTTACTCTTCACCTCACTTGTGTGTGAAGCTGCGTACTCAGTTTTCCAGTCTCTGCTGGAAAAACAGAGATCTTCAAGTTTATAATTGAAGTTCAAAGGGACCAGCTCGATGGAGTTGTGAATTTCCGTTCCATTTCTGTTCCCCTTCTTTTTACATCTAAGCCACCAACTGATGTAAATGACACACCACCACTGCCAAAAGTCATGCGACATGTATCCAGTTAAAAAAAAAAGTACAATTAGTTCAGCCATATTGTGTCTGTGTTTACAAAGCCAGATGGAGACAGCTGCCTCACAGCAGAACATCACATCAAAAGGAAATGAAGGAAAATTACATTTGTAACATTTGCCCCCTTTGTTGTTTATGATCAGGCTTGTTAAGGCACAGCTGCTCGGATCTGCCTTCATCTCGCTGCCTTCAGAAAACATTTTAAGATGCTTTGAGGTACCACAAAACCCTGCTAGTGCATGGCTGCCAGACGGAAACAATCAATGCACTTACAGAGGAAAGCATCTTTGACAAAGATCCCTTAATGTGCTTCAGCCTCAAGAGTTGCGATAAGCTCTATGTGTAAGGAATTATTCTCCTTCTTAATATTGTAGCACTACTGTATTTTGTCTACTCAGCCAGTGTAGAAATCCAGTATTATTGTAGCCAGCTCCTATGACGGTCTTAAGTTTGGGTGGTAGAGACAGTAGATGGACGTAGTGTGGGCTTGCCACTGGGAAACCAGGCCAGAGGGATTTTGGTTGGGGAAGGAAACCGGAGAGGGAGGAAGGTCAGGGAATGGGCAGAGGATGGAGTGATTGTCCGTAGATGTACTTGAGCACTGATACAGCTTGATTTGAAATGTTGCAAAGCACGTGTAATCAGGAAGACAGTGATTAAAGTCAGCAGTCAAAATAAGCTGATAAAAAAGGAAAATAGCTGAAGAAGATGAGCTGCTGATTTTTAGGTGGAAGGTTGAACACGGGGGAGTCCGCTAAGTTGCATACGTCACGGCAAACGACTGTGAAAAAAAAAAAACAGAGCAGCAAAAGCTTCCTGGTGTAAGTTTAAAAAGACTATTTATTTATTGACTTATTTATTTTCATTTGTAACTATGAGACCATCAGGTGTTTGGTAATTAAAAGCTGCATTTATAAGTACTTGTGCAAATTTAAGCCTATTTGAATACACTGCACACCTCACTCTAATGATTCTACCCTGTTGATATCCCTTTGCTACTGTCATGTCATCACTGACAGGCGAAAAAAAAAAACTTTCCAAACACAAGTTTCTAATTTCTACATAATCCTTGTCTAATTTTTAATAACTGTGTGATGTTCAAAATAACAAGCAGTTTTTGTTGTTTTGGAAATCGGCATGTTCTGTGCTGTTTGTTGTGTTTTTATTTTTATTTTTACGTAGAGTGTGTTGATGCTGTTTCACCCTGCAGTAACACAGCTGGAGCCTTCAGAGAGGCGTCGTCAGGTCTCCCATGCATCTTTGATGTTTCGCCATGAGTGTGACTTTAACGTCATAGTAACACACTGCATCTGTTTGGTTTCTCTCCTGTGAGAGAAACACGTTTGATTGTGTTCGCAAGCACTTTTATTTTTGTCAAATCACTGTGACGCTGTCTTTTGTCATTAAGATAAAGTTTCAATAAAACTTACTACTGTATTCACAGACCTGTGTGGGGATATTATTTTGATAATGTAGTGCAAAGACTGCTCTGTGCTCTTTTCGAGTTTAGTATTTCTAGTCCTCGCTGGTGTCGCTACAAAGTGGAGTAAGTAGGGCGGTTATTTTGAGAGACCTCTTTGACAAAGTTTCTTCTGTGAACTTTGCCTCAGTGTCTCAGACTGCTGTTTGGGATGTTAGAAAATGTTCAGCTGAGTCTTTGCTTTGGCTCAGACTGTTGTGTCCACATCTCGTTTTCTCTCACTGGTATCCATTAGAGGGCAGCCCAGCACAAATAATCTCCTACTTTATTACACAACTCTCTTTGGTGGGCACACAGGGGTCAGTGAAACAAATAAACAAACAACACACAGCATACAAATGTTCCAACTCACTGAAAAGAAAGGGGCTGCCACTGACCTGACCTGGCAACCCAGACACAACAGACTTGTACTTGGATCAAGGGCAGTGGTGAAGGAAGCATTCAGATCATTTATCATTTTAGCATTTAAGTAAGTAAAAGCAGCAATGCCACACTGTGAAAACACTCAATTGCAAGAAAAAATACTTCACTGAAAATGTTTCTTAAAAGGACAGCTCAACCCAAATCCCAAAATACATATTTTTCCTCTTACCGTAGTGTTATTTATTAATCTGGATTTTTTTGGTGTGAGTTGCTAATTGTTGGAGATATTGCCTATTGCCTTCTCTACAATATAATGGAACTAGATGGCACTCTGGCTTGGGGTGCTCAAAGCGCCAAAAAATACATTTTAAAAAACTCAACAGCAATGTCTCTTTATAAAAGACATGACCCGGTCACTCAAGATAATCCACAGACCTTGTTGTGAGCAGTTTCATGTAGGAACTATTTTCTTTCTATCAAACTTCACCCACCAGCTGTATCACTGTGCAGAAGGAAGCGTGCATCAACTGCTAGCTCACCTAGCACCACTGAGCTAGCTAATGTTACAGCTCAGCAGAGGAGGACACCATTAATGTTTACATCTCATACTGTCGGAAGTGCAAGCTTCTTCTCCATGAGTAGATGCATACTTCCTTCTGTGTGGTGATACGGTTGGTGGGTGTAGTTCAGTAGAAAGTAAACAGTTCCTACATGAAACTGCTCACAACAAGGTCTGTGGATTATCTTGAGGGTCATGAGTTCCTGAAAGAGACATTGCTGTTGAGTTTTTCAGATGGATTTTTTGGCGCTTTGAGCACCACAAACTGAGTGCCATCTAGTTCCATTATATTGAAGAGAAGGCAGACATCTCTACAGCCGATATCTCCAATACTTAGCAACTCACACCAAAACAATCTAGATTGATAAACAGCGCTACAGGTAAGAGGAAAAATATGTATTTTTGATTTGGGCCGAACTGTCCTTTTAAGAAACATTTTCAGTGAAGTATTTCCACTCACAGTAGAGTGTTTTCACAGTGTGGTATTGCTGCTTTTACTTAAAAGATAAATGATCCAAATACTTCCTTCACCACTGCCCTTGATATAAGTTAAACTGCTGTAGCTCTGCCACAAATGTAGCAGAGAAGAAGTATAAAGGAGCAAAAAAGAGCAATACAAGTAAAGTTAGAATAAATGTAGTTATATTCTACTGCTGACCAGTGGAGACTATATAGATGTTAGAGTACACTCATTGCAATGCATAATCACAAGAAAACTAAAGAGTAGTTTACCGTTTTTATTAAGCCCATCACTCTGACCACCAGCTGTCTGTAATGTATAAAGCTGTCACACTCTCTCTGTCCCTTTCTCCAGCGTTGGTCCTTATTCCTTAGGCCACTTCACTGCCTTTTTCAATACATCCACCAGATGTCCTCCCTCCTTTACCTATCACTTGACCCATCTTCACGGCTCTTTCCACTCTGCAGTTGCCTGGTCTTCCCCACCCAAACCCTCACCTGCACCTCATTCCCTCATCGGCTTCTCAGTTCATAACCGACCCAGTTTCATTCACTCTCTGCCAGACCCTGATCTAAGTTGCTCCTTCATGACTTTGCTTTACAACCAGCAGCACTAGTGCCTGGACCTGCCTGTCTACTTACTTCCATCTATACCTCCATCCCTCCCTGCCTGGCTGCCTCTACCTCCCTGTAAGACTATACTGTATATACCTTTATTAAATCACTTATAATATCCTATCTGCCTGCTTCATCTGTGTTTGGGTCCTTCTGGGTAGGAAACGGGTTGAGTGTGGTATTTGTAAGACCACGTGTTGTACAGTATTTCATAAAAAAGAACCTCCATCTTTAGTTCTCTTTGTGAGACTATGTTTGCTCTGAGAAATACAAAGGTGTGAGAGAGTGATAGGTATTTTCCAATTTTATCTGTAGTGTCAGACAAGTAAAACACCAGGAAACACCACGAGTTTGCTTTAATAGAATCTGAAGTTGGAGCAAGTTCTTTAAAAGATTGGTTCAATGTGTCATGTTCAAGCTCTGACGCAGACATTCACATGCTTATAGACACAGATAGAATCCGAAAACAGTGAACTATAAGCCATTAAATGACTGAAAATTGAATCAGTCCATTAGATATACCAGGGGAAAAAGAATAAATAGAATATGCTTGAAATCTTTACAAGAAGAAAAAGTCTGGCATGCCCTGGAGCTGAGCATGTTTCAGGTGTGAAGGGAAATCAATAAAACAGACGATGATGATAAAATAAATATAGAAGGCAAACACAGCAATGAGCATAATGAGGCAGAAAAGATAGGACTTTGGTCTGACTCATAGAGACTGTTTAATTTTCAGACTTTTTTATATCGACCCATATCTTTTCAACCTGAAGACTGCAGCCATATGTCACAGCAGCATCTGATTTATTTGGCTGATATGAACCAGAAAGGAAGAACTAATCAGAGAAAATCAGCAAGTGCAGGATCTGTTTGAAGTGGAAATCTGTCCCCCACTCTCATCACTGTACCTCAGTCACAGCTCTGACCACATCTGATGAGATCCAAACACAAAGACGTCCAAGACAAAACGTATAAGATATGCTCAGCAGATCCTGATATGAAAGATGGACATGACAGTTGTAGAAGCAAAAAAGTCAAGGTCCCGAGCCGGGCCAGTTAGCTCGCAACCTCGCTCTTTTCCTCTCAAACGGACTTTCTTTATCTTCCATTAGATATCAAAAACTCAGATACTCAGAGGTAAAAAAAAATCACTGGAGACACGTAGAATCAGATGCAACTGAGTTTAATGTGCTCGCAGGCAACAAACACATCACAACCCAAATGAGCCAAGCTCCGGAGCAAGGCTGGAATTTCTTTGTTTGCGCTCGCTCTTTTATCGTAGAATTTCTGCTGAGTCATCTCTTTCCCTTAATCCTTCTCACTTGGCTCTGATCGTAACATATCCCACCTCTGCTGAGTCACTTTTTCTCCACCATATTGGTGTCATATTTCTGCTGAGTAATGTTTTTCCTAGATCTAAGACCGCCTCCTCTTACTAGGGTCATTCTCAGGACAAGCTGTAATTCCCCTAATTTTCCACTAGTGTTTTCTGAACCCATTCTCATGCTATTTTTAGAAATGATTCACAGTGAGTCCTAGGTACTTCTCCACCACAATGCTTAAGTGCTCAATAAGTGTGTGTGTGTGTCATAAGAATACATGAAATATTAAACCAGTGTGTAATTTGTCAGTTGCACAGATTATATTGCTTCAACACATATCTTTTTAAAGGTCAACTAAAAGGTACAGTATATGTCTTCAGTAAATCAGTACATTACACTACACAGTCCAGGCTCTGATGTAGACATACCTTAGCCAATTATGAACAAGCGATGTATGTAATCAAATGTCATCGGAATTTTCTTATCAAACAGCAGTTAGGCCTATAGAAACGTGGAATTTTTAATTTAAGATACAACACCCTCTCTGGGCCAATCAGTGTGATCAGAGAGCATGCTGAGACAAAATCTGACGGTCAGTGTGTGAGGAATCACCTCAGACATGACTTCTGATCAACATGCAACTCAGCCCATGTGGTAAAAATCAGCAATTCCAACATGTTGTTTCTCCACCTCCTACAGTTCCAATTTTTTCATACATTTTAAAACATTTTACAACAAACAAACAACAGCCACAATCATTCAGTTAACCTTAACCCAACCCATTACCAGCCCAGAAACAGAAGAAACATGGACATAACTTTTCTAGGATGTCTAGGTGGGATGTCTATAAGCCCATCATAATGTTCCACATCATCCACAGTGGACTGCAGTAAAGCCCCGCCCCCTTTTTCAACAAGCATGGCCAACTGTGAAGCAAGGAGGAAACCCAGGACACGTCTCCGTCTATTTATCCTATTGTTAAAGTAAATCATTTCTGTTTATAATGTGTTTAGAGTAAACCTTTACTCAGGATTTTTTTCCCGAAAATATCTGTCCATTGGAATGGACGGAGGATGTGAATGTCACCAGAAAATGGATAGTGGAAAATCCTGTTTTAAAAAGGGAAAAATGAATTAAACTTGATTTACTAATGATACAATCAGCTTATGATACATCCTATTGATTATGTTCTCTGAATATTTAACTCAGGAGAATTTCAGCAAACTGGTTTCTGGAGATATTTCAGAAATTAAGGATATTTTGAGTCAAGATGACAAATACAATACAAAATATATATGCAGTGTGTTTTAAAGCATCACTTTATTCATTGATATAAGTTAACCGTTCATGAAAAAGAAATAAATTAATGTTTTTTTGTTGAAAAAAGGTCTATTCAAACCATTTATTGTCATTTTTACTATTAGGTGATTTCTGCGTTAAGATTCTCTGTCCATTGGAATGGACAGAAAAAATAACACATAATAAGTATCCTAATCAAAACATTTTCTTTGCTAATAATGGGTTAATAATGAAGACAATAATAATAATACAACAGTAAGGAGCAACACCAATGGATAATCATATGAATAAAGTGTATGATCATGTGTAGTACCTAAGCAGCACATTCTTATGAATTTGTTTTTATTTTGTTCATTATTTTCCATCACAAAGCATCAATCACAATCAAAATCCAGACATCTTGAATATGAAGCATGCACAGACACACAGACACAGACACACACACACACAGACACACACACACACACACACACACACACACACACATTTATAACTTGCCGCGTTCACGTAGATGAGTAACATTTGTATTGTGGAGGAAGTGAGCGAAATCTGGTCACCCCACTGATAGTTTTAACTGACAGTGTGTGTCAACATGTGTATGTGTGTGTGTGTGTGTGTGTGTGTGTGTGTGTTTGCATGTGTAAAAGAGAGACAAACACAAACACACACACACACACATAGAGGGAAGATGAGATATCCTCCATAGGGTGATTGTTCCAAGTAATGAATTGATAATAAATTCCTGTCATTAAATTACGTGTGTGTGTGTGTGTGTGTGTGTGTGTGTGTGTGTGTGTATCCTACATGTTGATGCAATAGGGTCACAGCACTGCTCAGACACCAGAGTTGACTGCCTGTGCGTAACCTGAACATTTACAGATGAATTAAGATGAAGAGATTGTACTAACTGAGTGAGGACACTCACTTTGCAGGATTAATTTACTTCACTCAGTCTCTCCCGGTGACTGTATTACAGGATGTGTATGTACATATGTGGTGCAGATAAACACCACAAAAAGCCTCTGAACTGAGAAGTGTGTGTGTGGGGGGGTTTATAGCATGTTATCTGCAATGAATTTTATGGCCCGACCAACCTTTGCTCTTCTCTTTTCTCTCCTTGATTTCCTTTCCATAGCCGCCATTCAGACATTTACGAGCTGTGTGTCTGTGTTTGCTGTCTGCCTATCTCTGACACATAATATAGTGAAGACACACACACACACACACACACACACACACACACACACACACAACACATGCTGTATATCATCTGTCAGATTTTGAAGTTTTTGTTGTAATATACACAGACTTCATCTTAAAGGTCCAGTGTGTAGGATTTAAGGGCGTCAGCTGGCAGAAATGTTTTCATTAGTTTATAATCACCTGAAAGTAGGTATTGTGCTTTCATTACCTTACAATGAGCCGTCTATATGTAAATAGGAACCAGGTCCTCTTCCATAGAGTCAGCCATGTTGTTTTACAGTAGCCCAGAACAGACAAATCAAACACTGGCTCTAGGTAGGCCATTTGTGTTTTTGCGTTGGCCACTGTAGTTCTTGGCACACAAGAGAAGTTCAAATTCTGCGCCCTCGCTGCTGGATGTCACATAATCCTACACACTAGACCTTTAAATTACAAAAATTAAAGATCATTTTAAGATTACATCGCGGTGTTTATGTGTATTAAGATAAGCACGGAATGCACTGAGATTAAATTGGTACAGATCTTCTCATTTAAATCCTGGTCCAGGTTCCATGCTCCTAGGGTCCTACGTCTCTTGATATAAACTAACATTGTAAGAGAAAGGTAAGGGTTAGCTTCTCAGTCAAAATTTCAAAAGCATGAAGTAAGGTTAATGTTTTTGATATGCTGTTTGAACAGGGAAAATCTGCTCACCCATTGTGGAGGCATCAATCAAGAGTAAAAGAAACTGTCTTGCCCACAAATTCGAGGGTTTTAAAGAGCATCTCTCTCTCTGTTTATCAGACCACAAATGAGAATTGGTTAACTCACCACCCCACAGAGACCTCCACGTCCTCCCCATTGCTGTGGACTGCTTCCCCAGAAAGAGAGCAAGCAGCTATAGTGGCTTGAATTCGGCCAGCACAAACCTCATGCTGGGTGTCACAGTGGGCTGGTGGTCAGCGTTTTTCCCCACCAGGTCTAACCTATGTAACAGCAACAGCAAATTTTTCTGATCCGACGAGGAGTTAGAGCTGTCCAGTCCCTTGGTTCTGGGGTTTGTGCTGGCTCAGTTTGGGTTGTTGTAGTCGCTGACTGGGGTCCGTCTGTGGAGCTGCTGCCTGCTTTCTTCCCTAGGATGTGGTCTGTAGTGGCGGGGAGTGAGACTCTCGCTAATGCTAGCTATGTAAACTTGAAACCCTTAGCTATGAGCCTGTTGCTCCAGTTAGCAGAAGGCTAAACTATTAGCAACATGTTCTGTCCGTTTCTGAAACTCCTCGCCAATACTGACACGTGTCATTTTTTCATTTAGTGTCAGACTCTCTTTTTGATAAGATCGCCTTTGCAGTGTAGACAGTTGTTGCAGACACTAGAATAGTAACTTTCTCTGCAGGATTCTTCGCCATTGAGTCAGGCTGTTTACCAAGGGTTGTGCACGTACATCTGCATTTGTAGAACAGTCAATAGGAACTCCCTCTCTCTAAAATGACCTATGATTGGCTAAAGTCTCTCATTGTGGCCTAGATTTTCTAAAGCCTGAGACAGAGCCAAGAGGAGGTGAAAAAGTCTAGTGCTCTTTCAGACTACTTGACTTGATGAAAGGTAATATGGGATTTCTTCCCAATGTAGCCAAAATTAAACTGCCTACCCCAGCTTTAATGTGTCATACTGACTGGATATTGACCCCAGGAACATAACACACTGTTGTGAACTCCTTTTGCTCACCAAGGAACAACATGACTCCTGGTGTGTTCAGGTGCGCTCTGCTAGCTCACACCCAACAAGCTCAGCAGTTTGTGTCCTTCATGTGTTGCTGCCAATGTGAGTTTCAGGTCTCCCAGAGGTGACATGTGTGCAAGACCTCACCTTTACTCTGCTGCTGAAGGTCAGTGCAGTGTGTTTCACATTACACTGCCATCAGTTATCCAGTGGTTTAATCTTTACCTGTCCTTTTTTTTCCCTTTAAATTGTATGTTACCAACAAGCTCACAACCAGCTACAATCTGTGCTCCCTGTGTTTGAAGCTTGTAATTCATGCAGACCTTGGCACAATAACAGAAGGTGAGAAGGTTATATGGCCCGCCCATGTGTCTTTAAAGGTTGTATATTAACAAATTGATGTGAGAAGGACAGGTGAGCAGCCACTTAGGGAAACAGAGGGAGTGTGAATGTGAGAAACGCCAAACACAGCTCAGAGGAGAAAACAGTCAAAGACGTGAGAACTGGATATTGCTCTTGTGAAATAAACTCTCCGTTGTGGATCAGTCAAAATTTAATCTCTGGAATTTGCCACAAAATTCAAAAGGAAGTTCTTGGACTTTATTGCATGCACTGGACTCTGGAACAGGAGTGGAGAAAGAAAAACACTGGAAGTCTTTACTAGGTCATGGACTCTGTTTAATAGCTCAAAAATGGAGAGGAAAATGGGAAAAGGGTGGTGGTGGCTGGGTTTGTGTGTGGTGGGGATTCTTGCTGCTCCGTGTCGGGGCAGCAGAAACTGTCTGGAAGGGAACACAATCAGTGTGATCCTGCTGTATGATGAAGTGTCTCCCTGGAGTCTGAAGTTTGTGCGAGGAGAAATACTGAAAGCCTTAGAGACGGATACAAACATTAATGCTGCCCAAGGTAATGGAATATAAAGACGTCTGCATGTGTACACAGAATGATGTTACTTTATGGACTCAATATTGTATTAGATTCAACAGTATAAAAATGGGACACCATTCATTAGAACAGAAATTAGCAGAAAATATTAGTATTATATTATTCAATTTAAGTTTTAATTTCTTGGCTTCCATCTGAACCAATGTTTCCTCTCTTAATGCCCACCACACCAAACTATACTAGACAAGTTATAACAGGGGACACTCAAAACTATTAGGCGACTGATAATAGATAAGATATTCGACTTAGTCAGTGTAATAAATTCTTAGATATGTTTCATCATACTGTGACGCAAAAGAAATTAATCATCCATAATGATTACTTAATGTTTTATGCTAGTTTAGCTTAATCTGTGGTCTGATAATGATAACATTTATCATGTTTTGACTCACTTGACATACAGCAAGGGGCCACAGGCTGGATTTGAACCCGGGCTGCTGCGGCAACAGCCTTGTATATGGGGTGCCTGCTCTACCACTAAGCCACCAATGCCCCCAAAGCTGCAATATTTAAAAAAAAGACTTAAAAACACTAGGCATGCAAAAAAGATACAAAAATACAGAAAACAGCAATAAATAATAACAATAATAATGAGCAGTGGATAAAAAGTGAGCAATGGGTTAAAGTGAACATATTTAGTGCAAAGTGAATATTGAATATGCAAATAAACAACAACATGGGGGACAGCAATGCTCATAGTGGTGTTTATAAGAGTCCGTGCAGTTTACTGTGAGCAGTGCTGGTTGTGAAGCCTGACAGCAGCAGGCAGGAAGGACCTGCGATAGCGTTCCTTCACACACTGTGGGTGAATCAGTCTATCGCTGAAGGAGCTCTCCAGAGCTTTTATAGTAATGATATAGTAATGATAATATAATTTGATGTGATATTGAGCATTATTCCAAACCAATGTGCCATTAATCAGTTACCAAAAAAACAACTCATATGTAATGAAAATTAAATACATTTTGATTTGATTTCAGCAAGACCATAGCCAGGGGTCAGAAAAAAAAATCTAAATTTTAAACACAAAGCAGACAAAAGCATCTCTTCATTTCTAAGCGGGGCTTTTGCCTTCTGAAATGACAGTTGTTAGCATATTTTATCAGCTGGAGCTAGCTGGCTTATTAAGCTCTTTTATCTGTCAGGTCAACCTGATCTTTGACTGACCTCTTAATGTTTCAAGATGACTTTCATTAAAAAGGAGAACCCAGTATGATGGCCACATTATATCATGATTAGACTGAGGCTAAAGCTTCATCCTCATCAGATATTGATGTAGATAACAGCAAAATGAAGAAATTACATTGCACTTGTGTTGCAGTTAAAGCTAGTTGGTTCTAGTATTGTAAGTGTGATAGGGAAAAATATAAGATCTAATTGTTTTTTATTCTAACGCAACTCTGTTTAGCTGCTTAGCTTACATACAGCAAGCAGATAGATTTATGCTTTACTATTCATATTTTAAAACAGGTTTTAGGATGAGGATTAAAGCTACAGTGCTTAACTTCTGTCGCCTCCCAGCGGATAATGCGTTATTACAACTAATATGCCGGCGGCACTTCCATGTACACAGAGTAACACTCGCCAGACGCCACACACCGTGTACACAGAGTAACACTCGCCACGCGCCGTGTACACAGAGTAAGACTAACCACACACCGTTTACACAGAGTAACACTCGCTTCACACCATGTACACAATGCTACACAACGTGTGCGAACACCAGGCTGCTAACATTACATTACGTTCATAGCACCATTTCCAAGAAAATAAAGTACTAGGTCCAGTACATGTAACAGCAACACATACTACTCTTCTCCACCATGTTGCTTTCTCTTTCTACCTGTGCTCTACCTCTTGCTATGACACTCTCCGCTCTTCCTCCCCCTCCCTTCTTGTTGTGAGGAAGCATTTCCTGTGCACCAGCGCGGGAATGTCGCCGGTCGACACGCAAACTAAAAATGATATATATTGAAAAATACCGCGAGATGTTAGAGGAGCTGATCGGCTTAATCAGCATTGTGTCATCTCCTCTAGTAGTGTCTTGGGTGAAACGGACATTTAAGGACCTGTAGAAGTTACGCACTATAGCTTTAAGGTCCAGCGTGTAGGATTTAGGTGGATATATCAACCCTGTCTCACTCCAGAGTCATTGAAAACTGCCACTTGGTCAGACACTGACGAAAAAAGCTGTTTTTGGCATGATATGCATCTGGTTGCTGTTACTGTTTAATGGTGCACAGTAGGTGAACCACTGACTTTCACCCGGGAGTCTGGTGTTTGCTTCTCGTAAGATTCTAAAGCCAAACCCTGTTTTTTTTTCCTAAACCCAATGGCGTGCTTTTGTTGCCTTAACCCAACCACATGCTAGTGTTTTTGAAGAAACAGCCCAGGGTACCTTGCACGTCATGTGTGGATGGGGAAAGTCCAGTGCCAAAGTCGATATGTGAAGAGGTTGGAGTGAGAATGTGTTGAATATATTGGCAGAAAAGGAAATATGTTATTTGTAACTGTTTACATTAGTGTATATTCACCTGAAACTAAGAATTGTGCTTTTGTTACATTTATAAACCATTTACCTACTAAAGGAGCAAGTCCTCTCCCACGGAGTCCGCCATGTTGTTTCTACAGTGGCCCAGAGTGGCCAAACCAAACACTGGAGCACTGTTGGAAAATGCTATACAGAGGTTGTGTTAGTCATGAATGGGCTTCTTAAATGTAACGTTTAACCCCACAAAATAATGTAGAATTAACTGCTACTGGCCTTGGATGAAACTCTGGGTTAGGCCACTACTGTAGCAGTAAGCTAGTTAGCTGGACATGCTAACGTTTGCAGCTTGTGTTAGAGCAGTCAGATCTGTTTAATTTAACTGTTTAATCTATTAATTACATGTTTGCCCTTGCAGTTTTGGTTTTGGAAAAACTGTTTATGTACAGATTATTGTGCTTATGACAGCTCCATCCACGAAGTGTCATCACGCAGATCATCATCATCCAAAGCTAGACAGACCTGCTGTGTCTATTTGTGGTTACTAAGCTATGATTATTTGTGTGTAGGGAAGAGATTTACTGAACAGAATATCAAAGTTAGAATAAAGTTGCTTTAAATTATTATTTTTTAAATTAATGCATTGTTTCTCTGCCTTTCATTCTTTATGTAAATCAAAGATGTGAAGTTTAATCTCACGGCGAACTACGGCGGGTTAAACACGACCTATTATCGACATAAAGGTTGCCAGAGCAGCGCATGTGAGGGAGTGGAGGAGATAAAGAACCTGATGGTGAGTAGCTGCTGTTTTACATCCACCGTCAACTCGTGGTATACTCACTTTATAACATGTACAGATAAACTTGCCCGTATGCTCAGTTTGTAGAGGGATTCTACAGGGTAGTAATTGTTGTCACTTTTTGTTTCAGGTCTGCTCTCACTTAGGCCTTGTCCACACAAACACATGGATATTTATAATATATAGCCTTTTCTATGCGTTTTGGCCTTTTGTCCTGTTTTAGGTTATTGAAACAAACAAACAAAAAAACCCTCCTTCCAGGGTGACTATTTCAGAGACTCTGTTTTCAGTGTTGATATGTAGACAGGGAAAAGAGTTTCTGGCTAAAAACGTCAGAGTGTTATCGCCCTTGTGATGTGTCACAAGTGAAGCATCATTTTGTGTGTGACCAAAATAGTGCTGCCTCTAACTTTGCTAACAGAACTTTTTTTTATGTTTACACGTAAATGCACAGCCACTCTTCCACTATACTGAGGAACAAAGGCTTCAGGATATGCTATGGAGGTCACTGCTCCAGGCGACCTTTTTTGTAATGGCTTTTAATCAGGCTTCTCATTGGCCATCATCATCATCATCATCATCATTATTTTTTTTGGCTGGCTTTAGAGTTACACCACCTTTTGGTTTGACAAACTGTAACAGTCTAGTACAAAACTGGGACTCAGTTGCAGAGGAAAACACAAAACACCAAGAACAGTTGGTCAAATCCAGATCTTTACTCAGGAGGTCAGGGGTCAAACACATTAAGGCAGTCAGTAGAGGCTGAAAAGTCCACTCAGGGAAATCACACAAAAAGTCCATAATTCCAAGCTGAGTCAAAGACCAAGAAATCAACATGAGGAAAAGACTTGATCACACCAGGGTGACAATGATGATACGATACGATACGATGTGATGCGATGCGATGCGATACAGTATACTTTATTGTCTGCTTGCACAGAATTGTCTTACGCCACAGTTGGCTTGATGACTAACTACACACAGGTGAGTGGAAGAAGACGCAGGTGAAACACATGAGATAAAGGCGGGAAAACTCCGTGTGTAAAAGAAACACTAAACACAACGAGATCACATCTCAAAATAAAACAGGAAGTGGACACAAACACATGAGCATAAACTGACAGAATATCACACATACTCTTCACAGGACCTTAATTGTGTTATGCATTTTCATGTGAACTGGGATTTTTATTTGTAACAGTGCTTGTGTGAACGAAATATTTTTGAGGACGAAGGAGGGAAAACCCTGTTTTCAGAAATACCTGTGTATGTGTGCATCAGGCTTTAGCTGCATCTTGTGGACACAAAGTTAATTTGTGAACATGTCTACAAGCAACACTGCAGAGAAATTCAGGGTTCACAGGGGTGGCTATCAAACATACTTAAAGGCAAGTATGTCAGCTCTGTGCACACACATATGAAACAAACAGAGCTGACAAACATTTAACTTGCACTCATTTGTATTTTCTTGCAGCAGTCAGAATCCCTGGGATGTGCTCTGCTTGGACCCACATGCACCTTAGCTACTTACCAAATGTCTGAGTAAGTGCATTTTTTTCCAAGGTCACATCCACATTAGTGCAGATAAGTTTGAAAATCTGTTTACTATCTCTTTACATTACTATCCCCCTTATTGTTTTTTTCCACCATGTATATATCATCATTTTCTATCTCTCCCTCTTTCTTTCCACTCCTCTTCTCTCCGTCAGTGCGGACAAAGGCCTGAAGCTCGGTACGCCCATCATCTCGGCTGGAAGCTTTGGTCTCTCCTGCGACTACACAATCAACCTGCAGCGCCTGCTGCCACCGGCACGCAAGATTTCTGACTTTTTCATTCACTTCTGGAGAGACATCAACCACATCAAACCTGAATGGAAGACAGCTTATGTTTACAAGAAGCAGATTAACATGGAGGATTGTTTTTGGTGAGTCGCCTATGAGATGTCTTTAAAGAGCACACAGGAGGTTGGTGAGTGTCGAGGTGTGTAGATCTGCTGCTTGAACCTACATTTTGCTGTGTTTGTTACCAGCAGTGTGAGGACAGATAGGTACTGCTTGTGCGTTAAGGTCAAAACAATGATATGGCTGCCTGTTCCTTCGGCTTCATACATCTGCTGCTTTCTTTACTTGGACTTTACTTGGAGTGATGTTCTTCCACAGGTATATTAATGCACTTGATGCAGGCAAGTTCCCCCTAAATATTAGCAGAACAGTGCTGCGCAGACCAGCAGACCTGATAAGAGAACTGACATTATCCAACAGGACGAGCAACTGTAAGTCTTTTCTTTAAAAACATAAACACAAATCTCACATGCCATAGTTTTTTAATACATGTTGACGTAGCTATAAAAAGGGCACTTTGGGTTTTGGTATTAACTTTAGTTTCAAGGTTGAATTGGAAATTTAAATGCAAATCAAGGTTAAAAGGTGGTTTGACTCTGCTCGAGGCTACTACACTAAAAATGCATTACACTGTTGGTATGTGGTGTTACATACAGCCTCTCTGTTTGCAGTGTTCATCATGTGTGGAACCCCAATGGATGTGATGGAGGTGAAAAATGGTAGCCCAGAGGCAGACAGCAGTGATATTCTCTTTATCCTTATTGATCTGTACAAGTCAGTGCTCTTTATTCTTTCATCTCTTTTATGACACGCTTGCACTTATTGTACTGTCTAGTTAATTAATGTTCATAATGGCTTTTTTGTATTCCTACATCGTTCTCTTTGACATTGTACACAGCAGTGATTCCCAACCAGCCTTACTTGTATTTCAAGGAGTAGCCTACTTCTGCTATTAACAGGGAATATGTGGAAAGACACCAGTTTATGACAAAGTGCATGAAAATACGCAGTTAAAATCATTTGGTACAAGTAAGCTAATGAATACACAGTTGAAACATTTAGCTGAAAGTAAAGAAATCACTGAAATACACAGTAATGGATAAATGGTCGCCTCCCCTCCACAGTGATCAGTACTACACCAACACATCATCAATGCCGTTCATGAGGAACGTGTTGGTGCTGACTATGCCCAACAACAGAAGCTACATCATCAACAATGACCTGAAAGGCAACAACACGGTGAGGACACAGGACTTCCATATTACTCCTTTTGACTACTGCTGTTTAAAGGAATAGCTGGATATTCTGCAAAATATAATTTCATTGCTTTTATGTTGCGAGTTACATACTGCAGTAAGGAGACCACTAATTTTGGTTGTGGCACTACCAGTACAGCTGATAATCACATCATGTAGTTTAATTGTTCAAAAAAAAGTGGAAAAATAGTATAAAAACAAACAAGATGTGGTTTTAGAGGGGCTTTGTGTGGGACCTGCTGGGTGACTTCTTGGTCTCTTGTTGTCACGGTGGGGTTGCCATGGTTGCATCTCATCAGTACTCTCAGCAAAAAAGTGAATAGTAGTAGTAAAAGTATTCCCTTAAAGATCAGCTGACATTAACTGCAGTCAGCCAACTACTGACTCCAGACAGGCTCCTCTTCTAAAACAGTGATACTTAACTAGCGGCCTGTGGGCCAAATCTGGCCTGCAACAGGGTGCAGGGTGGTCCCCACCTATTTACTAATTTACAGTGAAAATAAGTTGATTCATAATGGGTTTTTTCACTTTTAATGTAAAATGAGGTGCATAAAAAGCATCAAATTAGAACTTGTTTATCAAAAAGTGCCAGGGGAGGGTCCCCCATGGTCCCTGAAAGAGGTCCGGGCTGACCCCTGAATGTCCTAAAATCCAAGAAACACCCTTGCAAACACCTGAGCTGTACACCTGGCTTTTTCAATTGGCTCCTGTCCACCTGTCAATTTCCATAAGTGGCCCCTGGACAAAGGAATTTGAGTATCCCCGTTCTAAAAGATCTGTTGTATGTGCATCATTAGATGAGAGCTGGCTTGTCTAGTTAAAGGACCAGTTCTCACACATTACAGATAAACATGTCTTCTCACTTACTTCCAGTAGTTATTTAGCCTGACATCACCAGACCAACACCGCCAATTCATTTTTGATTCCAAGGGAATGTTATCAACTGCTGTAGACCCAAACATGAGACGTAGCGCTGTTGCTGTTTTGGCCATCAGGATCTGAAACTAGTACTTCAATACGTTCTTCCTTAGCTGCAGCCAGCTTGGTTTCCAAGAACAGCACTCCTCTCTACTATAACAGGTTTATGCTTGCCATAGTGTCCCCAGCGCGATGAGACAAAAATCAGATCATCACATATTTTGAAAAAAGCATTAGGGTTCCTCAAGTTGTCATCATGTGAAACACCTCTCATATTAGATAACCCGTTGTGATGGCCCCAACCAGGGCCAGGCTGGCTGGAAATTTGAATGGGAGGGAACCAGACATATCATAAAATAAATAAAACATGAGTGCACAGATTGGTCTCATTCTCTTACTAGTGGTTAATAACCCAACAGATGGTTTGGGCTTTATTTGCCAAGGTAACTGTCTTCATTACATCCACCCTAAAACAGTGGAGGTGAATGGAATATTATTGGTGCTGCTCACAGCACTGAAAGATTACATATTAAACAATTAACAGCAAAATCTTTTTCAAGCATTAGTGTTCCTGTTCCTGTTAATAATTTACTTTTCTTATACTGAATATATCCAGAAATGAATTCTTATCATTAATTTCTCTCTCTCTCTCTCTCTCTCTCTCTCTCTCTCTCTGCAGATGAATGACTACATGGCTGCGTACCATGACTCAGTGCTGCTGATAGGCCAGGTGATGAGGGACCTTATTCAAAACAATCAGTCGGAGATTCAGCAGATGGAGTATGTCAATGTGAATTACTTCAGAGACATCTCCTTTAATGGTAAGGAAGGAGGAAGGAAGAGGGGGACTGAACCTCTGATGTGTTTGCCAGCGGTCACTCTGGGTGTAATGCTGAATAAATCATTTTAGATCCATTTCTGGGATGAGACAAAAACATAAAAATGATTGAAGATAAGTAATAATAAAATTAAATGGAAAAATATAGCTTAGCTCAGAAAACATTGAGTAACAGAGAGAAGGCAGTGCTGTGGATATGATTTTAGAATCCTGAGGTCATCATCACAATTTCAGAGTTGTCCAACACTTTGGTTGATGACTGTAAACCTGCAAAACAAATGACATTCCCATCATTGTCAGCAGCGTCAGCATTCTTATAAGCTGTGTCTCAATTCTGAGGCTGCAGACTTCGAAGGCTGCATTTGAAGACTGTTTGTGTCACAGCGGCATGACAAAGGCTGTCCCATTTTGAAGGCTCCTTCAAATGCGGCCATGAAATGAAGCCTTCTTGGCCCAAATTTAGAGGATACACAAATGAATCCTTCGTGGCTCAGTCTGTCCCAAGATTCATTGCATGCTGATGACACTTGGGTTTTTCTATTTAAAGGAGTCAGTAGTGAAGCATCTCCTCGACTATGTAATAAAATAAGAAGTTATGTAGAAGAAGTAATGATAATTTCTGGCTCCATTATTTAACTAACTTGCAGCCTACTAACTTCTCTTGTCAAATGCAGCTGGTTGCTAGGTAACGGGAGCATCAGGGGGTGGAGGCGGGAACAGCTGGTGATGCAATCAGTAAATCCAGACCATCCCATTTTGGAGACTGCTCAGTTCAGCTGTTGTGGTCTTCAAAGGACACGGGCGACATAGACCCCAAAGGCTGCGTCCTTCTAAGGCTGCAGCCCCTGAATAGAGACACAGCTGTTGTGTGAATATTAGCATGCTGATGTTAGCATTTAGCCCAAAGGACTTCTGTGTCTACGTACAGCCTCACAGGGCAGCTAGCAGAGCTGTACTGGGGCTGGTTGCACAAAACACCTTAAGTTTGTTCCTTAAGTATGACACAAAAGGCTTAAATGAAATACTTCACCATTACCTGACTGGAAAGATCCCGTTGCTTAAAACTGCAGAGCAATCATTAAACTGTAAAGATAGTGCACAGCTTTGAAAAGTTGAGTGCTCCAAAAGCAGATGGTCACAATCATAAACTGACTTCTGGTCAGATTTATAGCTCAAAATCATTTGCTCATCTTTAAGCGTGTCCATCTCATTCTCCTGGTTGCCAAACACTCTTCTCAGGAAGCCTTATTTTTTCTCATTCATTTCCATTAACTCAGCCATGTTGCAGTTAGGATGGAGACAAAGGTGCTTTGTGTTTCTGTCCTTACTCTGGCTACTAAGGTCCAACGGTTTAACAAACTCGCTTTGTTCCTTAAGTACAAGACCAAGATAATGAGAAAAACTTAAATCCATAAGTAAACATTTTAAGGAAACATTAAGGAGAAGACTTAAGGTTGTTTTGTGCAACCGGTTTTATTGCAAGGAAACCTTAACTGGGACGTCTAGGAAAATCTTAACTTAAGGTGCTTAGTGTAGCTGGCCCCTGGACTTCCAGAGAGAATGACTTGACCTTAAAGGCTGTGAAAGCAGCAGTTAGAGTTGATACTGGTCACTGTTGTGTCTGTGAGAAGGCTGAGGCCCAACAGATGGGAGCTGTCACCTGCTGTCACTGATTTGTGTTTTTGTTTTTTTTTTGTTTTTTACTGACAAGGCGAAGCGATGAGGTGTTATAGCCTGCAGGCAGCAGCTGTAAATACCCTGTGTGTAATTGTGAGTGTGATTGAGAGACAGAAGCTTCTCCCTCTATCACACTCTTTCATTAGTTGTCCACTGTTCCAGACCACCAAACAACAGAAGCAGGTTTTTTAAGAAGTCAGGACATTTCCAGCTGTGTTTGTGGCGACCAAACTGGGTATTTTAAGCTGAAACATCCTTTTCTCACCTGAATCAAGTGGTTTTTGGTGCTTAAACCTAACCTCATATTAACTGCAGCATTGTCACGACATTAGATTGAAAATTGAGACATAAAGAAACGTAAAGTTTCCACATCTCTGCTACATATGAAATGCCCATCAGTGTTTGCAGGAATGCACAACATTTACTATGGTGATTAGGTGGTCTGTCATATGTTGGTCTATAAAGACGCTTCTATGATTCTGCTCAGGAATTGCTGGACACTACAAGTTGGACAAGTACGGAGACAGAGACGTGAATCTCTCAGTCATTTACACTTCTACCGACAACAAGGTACATTACCTCCCCCTGTGAATCAGCTGCTGTCACACAGTATTTTACTCTGAAATGTGCACTTCTCTCCTCTCATGTGATCCTCAGTACCGACTTTTATTCACATTCGACACTGAGAACAACTCCACCAAAGTGGAGGAGATGGATCCTGCCTTCATCTGGGGAAAAAGACTTCCTAATTTCAAACCAGAACAAGGTACAGCTAAAACACACACACACACACACAGTCAGTTGTCAGTTGGCCATCACAACCTTCATCATAAACCATGGTTATACGCACATTCACACCTGTCCACACACATAAACAGACACACAGCACACCTGTTAGATGACAGTGTTGAGTGATCACCGGCTGTTTATTGCTGTCAGTCAGGTAAGCTATCAGTTTTACTGTCTCTAAGGTGAAGTGGGAAATGTCACAGTTAGAGTGGCAAGTTTTGTCTTGGTTGGGCAGTTTGTCTGTGAGCTAAAATCAGGTTGCATCTATTACAAGATTCAAGAAGTTTTTTTGTCATATATACAGTAAAAACTCAATCTGCCAGTCTCCATTCACTCAAAACAATAATAAAATTTGAATTAAAGTTAGCTTTTATGAAAAGAATAAGCAGAGACAAAGTCTGGCCTGTGGGCAGAAGCTGTTCGTCAGTCTTGTTGGCCTTGATTTCACATTCCTGTAGCGTCTGCCTGATGGCAGAAGTGTGAAAACACTGTGGTTGGTTGGGGTGTGTACTGTCCTTTACGTTGTGGGCCCTCCTGATGACCCTGCTGTTATATTTTGTACTATAAAATTCTGCTGCCTCTTGGCCAGGTCGCTTTTGAAAAAGAAATTCTATATCTCAATAAGCTTTACCTGGTTAAATAAAGGTTAATAAAAAATAAACGTCCTGAATGGAAGGGAAGCCTGCTCATGAAATGAGTTGTGCTGCTTTTATCACACGCTGGTTGGCCTTCTTGCCCTGAGCAGTACAGTTTCCATACCAGACTAAGCTTGAGCTGGTGAGGACACTCAACTGAACATCTTTAAAAGTTGCTGAGGATATTGGTTGCTGGGATTTTTTAATGATTTATCGTGTGTCAGTCATGTGAAGTTCAAATGTTACACAGCTTTGAAGCACTTTTACACAGAAACGCTGGTTCAGCTTAGATTAAAATCTCCCTGGCCTGTGGAGTTTTCTTGTAAACAGCCAAAGGTCATATTTAAATTTAGTGTTCTTGTAGAGACCTATTTTTCCATTATGAGACCCTTGGGTGATGACTGGGGGAACTTGGCTCTTGCAGTTGCATAAATAAAAATAAGTTTTAAAAAGGTTTCCAAAACAACTTAGTTTTATTCCATCCATGAAGTGGTTACATACATTTTCTTTGGGAGCCTTAGTTAAATAAGAACAGGGTTTGTTATAGTAAATGCCTAAACTTTGAATTATAACAGTGTGGGGTTTTTGTGCTCACACCTTCAGGCCTGGCAACTCATGACATCATTGTCATCGTGTTGGCTGTTACAGTGGTTGTGGTGGCCACCATCGCCTTCATTTTCTACAGGTGAGTGATGAACTAACTCTAATGCATTAAATCTCTTATCAAGGACATCATGCTGGTTAAAGTGAGCTGACAGCACATGTGGAAAACCCCAGAGGTCACTCTGACCACAGTTTCCATGGCAGATCACAGTCAATATTTAAAGTATGCTCAAGATAACTGAAAAAAGTGATCCCTGAAACAAACACTGACTTATGATGTGCGCACATTTTGTCAGTTTTTACTATTACTGAACCACAAATCAAGTCATAGGTTAAAGGTTTAGTATTTTAGATATGTATGGGTGTTTTTTTTAATCTCATAATGGATAATGTGAAACATTTTTAGACAATGGTTTTTGATTTTTTTTTTTTTATATACTATGTACAAATGTTTCTATTTTTAATTTCTTTCGATAGATGTACATTAAATGCAGGTTTTTCATTTCATTTATTTCCTTTTGACCCCTCCCTGGGGTATAAGGGACAAACAAAAATAGCAATAACAAATCAGAGCAGGCGGCAACCAATGTACAACAAAATAACTAAAACAGAATTAATGTACATACGTACAAGTCAAAGCAAATCAAGAGAAACTATTCAGGATTTTCTTTAAAAGTTTCAAAAAATTTGACAAAACCTTTACTTTTCGAGATGACATTAACTTTTGAAACTTGTAAATATTTGGATTTACTCTATAGAAGTTTCCGACCAACTCTCTCCTTTGTTAAAAAAGGAACACACAAGTACATAATGATATTCGTCTCCTCGATTGCCAGTCAAACAAAGAGTACATTGCTGAGGGACATTTTCACGGCCATACCTGCGCTCAGAGATAGGTAACTTCTGATTTCCACACCGAAACTTAGACAAACAAATCCTTTCGGCATGTCTTAACATAATCAGATAAGGTTCAAAAGTGAAATCAGTTTTAAACAATTTATAACTATCACATAAAGGGTTACTTTGTAATTTCTCATGCCATCTCTGTAGTTCCATGTCAGATAATCTACGTTCAATCATTAATTTTAAATACTTAGGATTCATCCGCCCAGTGTCATGCCATAAGTACGATAAACCACAATCATCAAGAATATTTTTAACTTTGGAAATCCATTTACACTGAAAAATATTGTCATCATACAAAATCTTGAAAACAATAAACAAAATCAAAGAGATTTTTGCTGTATTATGACTAATTAAATGTACCCAAAAGTTAATCATTCTCATGTTTACCTTTAAATCTAAACTATTTCGACCAAACTCTCCATAAATAATACAATTTGCTGTGCGTTTATTAACATTAAATGAACGTTTCAAAAAAGATCTGTGAAGCATTTCAATTTGGTCAAGTTTATTATTTATCCCCAGACTTCGCTTCCATATAAAAGAGTAGGCACTATAAGCTGGTCAAATAACTCACATTGTATATCAACAGGTAACTGTAATCTAGTAACTCTGTTTTCCAAGGAGAATAAAGCTCTTTTAGCTAGTTTAACTTGCTTAGCTATTGCTTTATCAAATCGTCCATTAAAATTAAATAGCGTTCCAAGATAGTCATACTCAAAAGTAACTTCTAATTTATCTGAACCATTCTGGGAGTATCTGTAATTTCCCCCTAGAGAAAATAACAACCTTTGTTTTGTCTGTGTTAACAGTTAAATACCAGTTTTTACAATAAGAATCAACTGCATTTAATGTGGTCTATATTTCTCTGCCAGTACAATTGTATCATCCGCGTAAAGCAGGACATATAATTTGTGTGATGCATGAATATTAGGGTAAATTTAAAATGATAACAGCACTTTAAATGGCTGGTTTCTGGATCTCCTGAAAGATATTTTCTCACCAACCTGCAGAATTTTGAGGCCAAATATTCATTTGTCCTGATTTTAGAGCAAAGTGAAGAGTTAGAGTAGGAGTTAAAGAGTAAGAGCTAGAGTAAGGGTAACCCTAACCCCATTTACAAAACTGGAGGCTCAATAAGGCTGTACAGATATTACAGGGGACCTATTATGCTTTTCCATCTTTTGTCTCTTATGTATAGAGTTAAAATGAAAGATGTTCATATTAAATGTGGCCAAAGTTTTAAATGATAAGGTCAACATATGTAAAAGTAATCCCTATAAATAAAACCCCCAGATTTCAGACTGTTCTGAATATTCTGTTTTCAATGTTTTTTATGCTTTTCAATTCAATTCAATTTTATTTATAAAGCCCAATATCACAAATCACAATTTGCCTCACAGGGCTTTACAGCATACGACATCCCTCTGTCCTTATGACCCTCGCAGCGGATAAGGAAAAACTCCCCAAAAAAACCCTTTAACGGGGGAAAAAAAACGGTAGAAACCTCAGGAAGAGCAACTGAGGAGGGATCCCTCTTCCAGGACGGACAGACGTGCAATAGATGTCGTACAGAACAGATCAGCATAATAAATTAACAGTAATCCGCATGACACAATGAGACAGAGAGAGAGACAGAGAGAGAGAGAGACAGAGAGAGAGATGCAGGTAATAACAGTAGCTTACAACAACATTATTGAAAGTAATAATATTATAGTTATAGTTCTGGCTACTGTCTTTTGAGACAAGATGACGTCAAATAGTGACAGATTTCTTAATATGGACATCTGCTCCAGTGTTTACATTACATACCCTACACTGTTACATGAAGCACCATGCTAACAATACAGAAACATGTAAATTTGGTCGTCAATGTTGTTAATTTCTCTCTGATTTCGGATCATATTCCTGCTGGAACAGGTCCAGTTGTAAAGATTTTGGTTTAGAAGCTTCAGTTAGTGATTTTTAACGGGAGAATGTGGCTATAGACCTTTTTCCATGGCAGACATTTTGACATTTCTTAGTAGGAAAAGCACAAGTAAATTTAATAACATGAATGATAGCTGCATTTCATGTAGGGGAGGCCCTGTGTGTGCTGGCTCACTAGAATAGCTCACTGGGACATTAACATTGTCAGTGTTATCAGTTTCATCAGTGCTTCTCCTGCTATGACAAGTCAAAATGTCTGCCGTGAAATAGGCCTGTTCACAATCATTCCCAGCTGCAAGTACACTGCTAACACACATGTACCTACATGCTAACATCAGGGAAACTTGTAATCTTAGTTGCTGATGTTGTTTTCTTTGGATCATGTTGCTGCTGCGATGATGGTGCAGACGGGATACGGACAATCTGGAGACGCTGGCCAATCAGAGCAGACTGGACCTTTTTTTGGGAGGGGAGCTTAAAAAAACACAGACACTAAAATGGAGTATCTCTGACAGAGGGTGAATACAGCATGTATGCATGTAAACATGTTCAAGTAAGAATCCAATATACAAGTATGAACCAGAAAATGAACACGATAGGTCCTCTTTAAAGTGCATGTCTTGGGTGCTCATGGATGTGGATCCCTGCCGTACTTTGCACTTTGTATTTCATTATGGTATTTTTTTCTTATGTAGACAGAACAGGAGAGAACGTCTGAACAGGAAGCGCTGGTCCCACATCGCCTCTCACCTCATCACACCGCTGGAAAACAATGAACTCAATGTCGTCTCTCTGAAGGTAAATGAGGTGTAAGTCTATCAGTCAGTGTGGGGGCTCTTTTCCAACACTCTGTCACTTATTGACAGGACAAACAGGACAAAAACAAACAGTTTGAACATGTTTGCTCTGTTAAAATGTCCTCCATCTGCTCCATCAGATTGAAGAGGTGAGGAAAAACAAAAAATTCCAGATCCGCCGTGCGCACTACGATAAGAAGGTAGCTGGACACAAACAGTGGTTTCAAATGAATCAACATGCTTTTGCACAGCACTGAACATTTAGATTTGCTGACTGGTGCTGCGATGTTTTCAGATTGTGATCCTGAAGGAGCTGGAGCACTCAGATGGGAACTTTAAGGAGGACCAGATGATAGAACTTAATGCGGTATGGTGGTTTGTGTGATGTCAGGGTTTTACTGATCTGATGACCCGTGTGTGCCTGTCCTTTGTGTTAAATTTTTTCAAAGCTAGCCATTGTGCGAGTCAAAGAGCTACTGTTTCTTCTTTTCTCTGCAGCTCTTGCAAATCGACTATTACAACCTCACCAAGTTTTATGGAACCGTGAAGTTCGATGAGGGTGTGTTCGGAGTGTTTGAGTACGGCGAGAGGGGGTCACTCAGGGTAAGTATGGCATGCTCGTGTCACTCATGTGCAGGTCAAGTCCATCCAGAAGTTCAGTTTGCACATGTCACATTATCACTTTGATTGACAAGTCAGTAATATCAGTAGCTTAGTACAGAACAAGCAAGAAAATATTCACCAGATTTTATGTCCATTTCTTCCAGTATGTGCTGAACGACAAGGTTTCGTACCCAGAGGAGACCTTCATGGACTGGGAGTTCAAGATTTCTGTCATGTACGACATTGCCAAGGTGAGGCAGAGACTCTGGGCCAGACGTACTCAATGATAGTATCAGGGATCATATGTTCTTTTGTAATAAATTACAAAACAACAAATAAAAGTCAAATTACTTTTGATTTTTAGTATAAACACCTGACTAATAACATTTTTTAAATTGTAATGTGAGGAGTTATTACTTGTTTTTACTTCCTATACTAGAATTTGCTCACTTTTGTGTTTCCACTATGTGTATTTTGGCATTAATCCGGGCCTAAACTTGAATGCGGCACACATACACTAGGAGGAATTGCGGCTGCAGTTTCCTCTGGCAGCCAGTAGATGTCAGTAAAGATCACAGATGACTTAGTGCCTCTTTAATCTAAAACGTCTGGTGTTTAAATCCTCTGTGCAGGGCATGTCCTATCTCCACTCCAGCCAAATCCAGGTACATGGTCGCCTTAAGTCTACCAATTGTGTGATGGACAATCGCATGGTGGTGAAGATCACAGACTTTGGCTGCAACAGTTTTCTTAGCCCCGGCAGAGGTGAAGCAACAGCCGCAGTATTCCTAATCCCTCACTGAGTTTATGCTCATTCCTTCACTTTCATCACTTTCTTACACCTCTTTCTCCTTGTCCTCCTGACAGACTTGTGGACAGCTCCGGAGCACCTGAGGAAACAGGGCACCTCTCAGAAAGGAGACGTTTACAGCTTTGCCATCATCGCTCATGAGATTGTTCTCAGAAAGAACACCTTCTATACTGAGACCTACCACAACCGAGCAGGTGGGACTCACTTACACATCCACTGTCCAAAATTAAGCCCCTACACTCACCCTCCCACCCACTCAACACTATTGTAAGCAACTTTGTGGAGACTGAATGTCTCTGTTTCCTAACAGAAAAGCTTGCCAAGGTCATCATGTCCTACTTCAGACCTGATCTTAACTTTGAGACGGCTTCAGAGAAAGAATTAGAGGTGAGTCAATGCCAGCTGTGCCCCGTCTTTATCTGCAGTTGGGCTTTGTGTGTTTGAAGTGTCTTTAAAGCTTTGTGTCCTCCATCTCGTAGGTGTACACGTTGATAAAACACTGTTGGGATGAGGATCCTGAAAAAAGACCCGACTTCAAGAAGATAGAAAACTGTCTGGGGAAAATCATCAGGTAGTCACTGTGTTTTCTTTCAGAGGTTCCTCTTCGTGCTCTGGGAAGCTGATGACATATTTGTAGTTGGTTTTAGTTAAGGTTTGTGTTTTCTTGCTTCCTTTTCTTCCTTTCCCTTGTCCTTCAGTAAAATTCATAACCAGGACAATGAGAGCTACATGGACAACATGATCAGACGGCTACAGATGTATTCCAGAAACCTAGAGCACCTGGTGGAGGAGAGAACGGTCCTCTACAAAGCTGAGAGGGACAGAGCAGACTGCCTCAACTTCATGCTGCTTCCCCGGTCTGCTGGGGATACATTTTAAAAAGCAACAGGTTTGGCTAAGTTAACTGGAGGGACATTCTGTTTCATTTGTCTTTGTTTCTCTCTGTGTAGCCCAGTTGTGAAAAGCCTGAAGGAGACTGGTGTGGTGGAGCCAGAGCTGTACGAGGAAGTGACAATATACTTCAGCGACATCGTTGGTTTCACCACTCTGTGCCAGTACAGCACACCGATGGAAGTTGTGGACATGCTCAACGACATCTACAAAGGCTTCGATGGCATTGTTGACCACCACGATGTATACAAGGTATAAATGGTAACTCTGCACATTTTTAACCTGGACCATATTTTCCAGTGTTTTTGTCTAAGGGTGCATTCACACCAGGATAGTCAGGGGCACTTGGTTTGATTGGGCGGGGAATGCCGAAAAATTTTAAAAAACAGCTGCTCATTTGGGGACGGTATTGCCCGAAACGACCACTCACCAGGAAGAAAGAAAGTATGAGGAAGATGAAAACCTAGCTCATTGATTGGCCAGGACCGAAAACGGAAATCCATCCCCCTCAGCTGGCTTGGTCACCACAAAAACACCAAAATGTGTTGCGCTCTACATCTCTTCCTCTCTTTGGTTCACTTCCTCTCTTTGGTTCACTGGATAGTCCATTTGCATTTCCCACTTTAAGCGAACCGCACCAGGGTTCACTTGCAAGTGAACCGAGACCCCCAGTTTTCAAGTGGACCAGGGTTCGCTCGTTTGGTCCGCACCAGTGTCCGAATGTCCGTTCACACCACTCCAAACGAACTGAACTATCCGTGTAGAAGTGGACCAGGGTTTGTTTAAAGCGGACCAAATAGGGCAAGTGTGAATGCATGCTAACAGGAACATCAATTTTTAAAATTGGTCCAGTATTGAATAGTGAGTGCAGCTGACAGTGGCGAACACAGTCTGCAGTGTAACCACTTAGGGCAGTTGTACATCATTGATTTACCACTAAAAGTGCTTGTTTTGCCACTGACAGGCTCAGATTGTTATTCTAAATGTCTGACAGCATTATGGAAAGGATCCTTACAGCGATAAGACTTTTTGTTAAAGAGTAAGATCCTTTGCCCCAAAATCTCTATTGTCAAACTCACAACACATCTGAATAAATAGTAATTTTATCTTTGTAAAACACGCTTCATTCAAAGTCCACATAAACAAAGTAAAACTCAAGATAACAGCCTTGGGTTTTTTTTTTCAATTGTTCCAACAATTACCAGCTCTGGTTTGGTTGAAATAAACCCTTAATTCACCCAGTTAGATGTGATAATATGCTGGCTCTACACGCGGTAACAAGACTGTTTATTTAAATGGAATCTGATGGGTTTGGAGATGCAGATTTTGGGTCTGTTTTTGGTTACCCATGACCAAAAAGGTCTTATCTCTGCAGGAGCCCTTCTGTGATGCTGTCAGACACTTATGATAACAATCTGAGCCATTCAGTGGCAAAAACAAGCACCTTTAGTGGACGTACATTGAAGGTGCACAAATGCCCCAAGTGCTTACATTGCAGCCTGATTCTCAGCTGCTGACTGCAGTGTTCTTGCTCATTTCTGAACTACTTTTGAAAACTGTTCTTCCCATTACTCATTTAGACACAAGAACATAATAAAATAGGTCCAGGTTGAAAAAAATGAAGTTACCCTTTAACAAGGGTGAAATTCACTAATGATGGACAGACATCCCCATTTCCTCCATCAGGTGGAGACGATTGGTGACGCCTACATGGTGGCCTCTGGGCTTCCGAACAGAAATGGGAACAGGCACGCAGTGGACATCTGCCGCATGGCGCTGGACATCTTGGCGTTCATGGGTACCTTCCAGCTCAGACACCTGCCTGGTATCCCTGTGTGGATACGCATCGGTGTTCACTCAGGTAGACAGCACCAAACTCTGGGCTGTGCTTAATATTTCTCAATCTCCCAGTCAAAACATACACATTATTTATAAATTAAACTTAAGAGCTAAGAAGACTTGATCTTTAAATGCAGTGTGAGGCCACGGCTGTAATGATGGAAGACTGAATATGTGTGTGTGCAGGTCTGTGTGCAGCAGGTGTCGTGGGGATAAAGATGCCCAGATATTGTTTATTTGGAGACACAGTCAACACTGCGTCTCGTATGGAGTCTACAGGACACCGTGAGTAGAGAAATAAAAACATCCATACCATGAGCACGAGTTACATTGATGTTCCTGCTGCCAACCAAGACCGTCCACATATGTTATAATAGCAATGTACAGCTCATTACTCCTGTGCATTTACAGAAGCTACCAATCAATCTGATGAGAGAAATAAACCACAGCCAGGGTTTGGTAAAAAACAGATGCCTGTTGTTTTATCTGTTAATATCCTTTAGCCCTGCGGATCCACGTCAGTCAGCCTACTATAAATATCCTGCAGAGGACAGACTGCAAGTTTGAGTATGAGCTCAGAGGAGAAACATATCTGAAGGTAAAGATGGGCCTCTTCATTAAATTTACTAACAATGTCAGACAAATGATCAATTTTTTAAATGAATCCAGAAACATTTAATTGTGCAAAAAGCCCTGACTGAAGCTTGGATGTCTGCAGACTTCACTGCCACACACTGAAGCACAATGTTGTAAATGTGTGTGTTTTCTAAGGGTAAAGGCACAGAGACAACCTACTGGTTAACGGGTGAGAAGGGCGAAGACTATGACCTCCCAACTCCACCCACAACGTAAGCAAACCCTTCACCTGCTCTCAAATACATCTCTTTAATACTTCTAAACTTATGTAGCTCTCTGAGCTGCTTTTGTGAGTCTAATTATGAGGTGAGCAGTTTGCAATTGCTTTTTGTTTTTCTCTTTTTTGGAATATATAGATGTACACACCCTCTCAGTATTTGGGTTTTCTTAAAATAGGCATCAGGCATAACCATTTTGCAAAACTGAATTTGTACAGTTGGATTTAAAATTTGACACAAAGACATGACACGATATTCTACTGCAGACTGGACTGTAACCTTTGTTCTCTTAATGTACTGGTTCCTGCTTTTCCAGGGAGAACTTCCAGCGGCTCCAACAGGACCTCGCCCACATGATCGTGGAGTGTCTGGAGCGGCGCTCTCGAGGCTCTGTGCGGAGGAAGAAGCCGCTCTTGAGTCAGAGCAGGGAGGATGACAAGGAGCAGGAATCAGGGGTGGAGTCTGAGAGTGACCAGCTTGAGTACCTGCATCTGGCCACTGTGGGTAACACCCTCAGTACATTCCTCTAGTACACGCCTACTGTTGAATACATCGCTGACACAATCTGTATGTATGTGATTACACTATGCAGTAAGAGAGGGAAGATAACCAGAAGACAAGAAGGGAAGTATATGCATTACAACAGTATAACAGTATAAATATAACAACAAGCAGAGATGTATAGACTAGTTGGTCAGTTCCATTTTGTTAAGGCTAAACTGAGGCTATGATCAGCATCAATGTCTAGACTACAACTTAATAATGTTCTTGTATATATCAACATGTCTCCTGCATTTTCTTGTGAGGTTCATTAATTCATTTAAATATGTAATTCATTTGCTGTTTAGTGTAAACATGGGTCATATGCAGCTAAAAGATATTGCAGTTATTAATTCCCAGTGCTTAATATGTCTGTCATTGTGGAGGAAACTGGTTTGTGTATCACTGCTGTTAAGCAGGGCGATATGAAGGAATTAACAGGAGCATAAAAACTAAAAAAAAAAGCAAAGCTCTGGATGTAGCTTTATTGTGTCAGGTGTGAAGCAACTCAACATAATTGCAATGAAAGTGTGAGTTTGTGACCTAGTAACCTATTAGATCTGGTATAAATCTATAGACCGAATCACATTTGTTTACAGTAACTTCCTTGTTTCACATACATTAAAATAATAAGGTGCTGAGCAGACGCTGCCTCAATTGGATAGTCTTAGGCCACCTAAAAAAAAGCCTCACCCTAAAAACAATCAGTATGAGTTAAAGTGTTCGCTGTGTTTAAATGTTTTTACGGCTTTACTTCCCCACCAGACAACCCTTTCCAATGGGAGACTGAAGTGGTTATATCAGAGCCACCAAACTCCACTGACAAACAATAACCATTTTACTTCACAGAACACGAGAGTTGCCAGTCTACCGCTGTCTGGATTTGTAGTGTGTAAGGTAAAGCTGTGAAAAATATTCGAAATATAAAGTTCACTTAAACTGATATTGATTTTTTTAGGTTGCTACATTGTTTCGCTTCTGTGCTGGTAAATTTGATTTGTCAAAGATGATAGCAATTTACTTAGTTCATAAAATAGGCACAGCAGAAGTGTCAGATAGGTCTGATCACAGTGTTTAACTATATATATCTTTAAACGTTAGTTACAGCTGAAAATCACAACAGAAATAATCATATGTATGCTTTAAGAAGGATCAGCCAATGAGACAAAAGGATTTAACTTTTATCTGCCATATTCTTCATTCTTAAAAATGTCCTGACATTTTACTGAGTGATGTTATTTTGATTGAAAGTGTTTTTAAGTTCATTTTGTTTGTGTAAAATTTCTAATATGTTGAAATGGAGCAATGCCATTATTCTTGTACTAGTTATTTTCTATTCATATATTTTTTTACCCAAATGACAACTTGACCGCAGCTGCATCGAGTGCTGGCAAACACAGATTGATATGAGGTGGTTAAGGACAGTGGTTCCCAACTGTTGAGTCACGGTCCAAAAGTGGGTCGTGGGTCCATTCTGAATGGACCTCAAGTGACAAGATTGTAAAAAACACACTTGATTTTGAAGTACTGTGAATTTTTTAGCACAGAGCTTTTATTTTGGAAGTGCTGTTTCATGTAGGGAGTAACTAACGGACAGCTACTTCACAGAGACAGCAAACTAGCTTGATGACATGTCCAAACGCAACTATGACGCTGAATGTTGGGAAGCACTGGTTTAGGAGATAATTGCTGTCATGGCTGTACTTTATAACCAGCTTTGTTATTTCGTCATTTTCAAACTAAATACCAGGGTATACTGACATGTGGACTCATAATGAGCATGCCACGGTTGGAACATCTGCCTTGGCAGAAAAAAAAATAAATTCAAATCTGTATTTTAAACCAAAGGACAAAGATTTTATTTTGTTGAGAATGGTGACATTCATTTACATTAAATAAAAAAATCACTTTCTGTCACATCTGTTGAAAATGCTGTATATTGTTCAGGTGAAATACAGAAATGAAAACAGCGTTTCTCGAAGCCTGTACAGGTTCATCTGAGGCGTTACAATGCATGTGTCACATTGTTTGACGTATACAGACACTGAGTATGGACAGCAGAAGGAAAAAAAAAAACTCCAGCATCAGATTAAAATGTTTTTCTATCCACAGCTGCCTGACAGATGTTTGTTTTTTGCACGGAATAAAGAAAAGTACTGCCAAGTAGACTTTTACACATCTAACACTATGTGAAAACACACTCTACTGTACAGCAGAAACAATTCAACACGTAGTGTACAAGTGGAGGCTTATAAAACGGACCGACTGGTAACTCCTTTTCATTGGAGGAAAAAAAGACTATCATCTGGGAAATGTCTTTTGAACAGCATTTATGTGAACTTAACTAACATATTCAGTAAACCTGATGAATATATTTCTATGTAATTGAAGATCATCAGGTTAGTCAAAAATAAAAGCAGGTCGTCAAGTAGAAAAAAGCAAAAGTCACCCTAAGATGACGTTAACACCCCCTCCCCACCTAAAAATATCAAAACCCAGATTCTTTTTACTATGTAACATTCAAAAAGAAATGTTGAGAATAAATTAGACAACTGAACGTACAAAAAAAAATCAAAAAGGCATGATATCTTATACAAAACAGCCTTCTACAGGAGCTGCGTGAAACCAGCTTCAGCTCACACACACAGCTGCGTGTACTCTCAATCTCTACTTTATGAAAAATAAAAATTCTCAGATCAAACATGCACTGGAAGAAATGTACACAAATGCCAAACCTAGACTCTCAGTGAGACTGTAAACTACCCATTTGTCGACTAAAATATCAAAACAGCCATTTTAAAAAAATGCATGTAATGTAAAACACCTATGATCATTTGGACACATCTGGTCTTTTGACGTGTCAGTTTTGCTGCTTGAACTCAAGGCACCGAATGATTCGAGTGAATAGAGCTGCAAAAAAAAAGCTGAAGTGACAAAACATTAAACAGTCTTCTCCCTCCTGCTAATATCACTGTTATGATTATCAAAAGCATGATGTAACATCACTATCCTAACATTTACTGTACTCTGCTAATCAGCCGTTAAGGTATTGCGAGGAACCTTAAAAGTCCAGGGTATCTGTTTACACTTTGGATGGACGAGACATTTAATTTCATGTACGCACACACAAACACTCAGTATTGTATTTGCAGCCTTTTTTTCAGATTTAATTATCAAAATGTTTTTAAAAAAGTAGCCAACCATGATCTTAATTCTCGATTGTCTCACGTCGTAACTCTAAGTGCTTATTGCCTGTATAAAACAGCCGTGTGTGTTAGTGTGTGTCCTGACTGCATGTTGCTGGTCAGTCAGTGTTACAAAGGAGCTGAACAGCAGGGGGGGGTCAGACATAAGCTGCTGACAGCCAACGCTCAATATGGCTGCAGAAATCTTTAGAGGCAGAAATAATCTCTCTGCGTGAGGTAAACTTCTGCAGGCAGGGCCAAAAAAGTGGTTAGTGAAGAACAGCTTTAATGAGTGGTTTGGTTTAGTGTTTACTTTTTTCTTCTGGGTTAGCAAATGCTATGTGTACCCGTGTTAGAGTAACTGCAGCTAAAAACTTCACTTCCCACATGTTTAAGGAAATGTTGTCAGCATAAATATCCCACAATGGGTTAACATGAGCGACCGCATATTGCTAAGGCTTTCAAAGATGGTCTAAAACCTGGTGTGGGGGTTGTAAAGTTGTCTGTTTCCACTTTAAATTTGGAACATGAACTGGAATATGTAGCCAACCAACATATCATAGCATAGTTACCCATTTGCCTTCTTCTCCCCTTTGTATTGTAATGTCTTAACTGTTTTGTTTTTTGGCTCCTACCACTGCAGATGAACTCAATGAGTTAAATTATTTATGCCTCCAAGAAATGCTTTAAAAGAGACCTGCCCCGCTCCCATTAGCATTTGTTCTACAATGTATTTCTGTGTTTTATTTGGTTAAATGTTTTCTAATAGGCTACGTCATGACGCTGTGGTACTGTAGGTGTATTCTAGGCTGTATGTGTATTTACACAGTTTATTACCTGCTGATAAAAACTGAACACCCTGTTATTTTTAAGATACTTTCCAGCATTCAACAACTGCAGCTGCAGATTTTTACCAGTGAATATGCTGTCAAGACCTCATGGCAGGTACATTTGCTAATTCATGTCATTACACAGCACTATACAGACTGTCAGGGGTTGTGCCACAGACCTGTGAGGTGGTTCCAAATTTGATCCGTGGTGCAGTTCCTACAAGTTGCCAACAGAGGTCATTAAAAGTCATGTGTGATCTAACTTGCTGCTTCTTAAAAACCTTTTCAATCATACACCTGCACTGCGGCAGATCTGCTGTTCATTATTTTACAAACAAAGATGATAGAGGACCTAGTGTGACTATCATTACTGCAAGGCAGAGATACACCTCATTCTCCTGTCTCTCCTCCTTATTTTGATCCCCCCCTCCTCCCGCCCTCTACCCCTCTCGGTTACAGCCTTCTCTGACTCACACCAACATCTCTCTGTCAGCTGGGGCCAAAGCTGGCTCTGGATCTCAGCCAGGGCGACAGCCTGAGACGACGGTGCTGCTGAGCATGCAGTGGCACGAGGTGATGCAGGTGTGCATCAGCTCAAGGAAGGATGTTGGCGCAGGGAGAAAATGTAGAGCAGTGTGTGTTTCTGTCAGTGCGGTGTGCTGGCTGCTCTGTTGGACAATGATAGCCTGTCTGTAAGGAGATGAAGCCTTTGTAAGGTGACCAGTAAATAATGGCGTAGGATAATACATCTGTCTCCAGCTACACTGATCCATCTGTCAGCAAAGAGAACCCATAAATAACTAACATCTAATACCATGAGATCACACCAGGGTTAAAACATGTTCACACAGGTAGACCAGGGTCAATGCACCCGATGCAACTCAGAACCAAAGGCGCACTGACTCATATCTGCTTTGTATGCAGTGCACACTGCCAAGATCTGCTCCAGCCTCGACTACAGGGGTTGCGAGGTCAGTGTACAAGATCAAACCAGTGTTTTCACTACGGCTGCCCCCTGAGAGTCCCTGAAGATTCAACTCATCAGTGTCGGTGACCCCATAGTCAACAAAGATCTCAAGTCGGGCAGTCTTTTTATTTTGGTCAGTCAGTATATTTCTGGGGACGATTCAGTCCCCAGATGTGGCTGCAGAGTGAGAGCTTTTTGCTGTCATGCTGCTCTCTGTTACAGGTAGCTGCAGACCAAGAGCCAAGGTAAGCCTGACTAAGACGGAGGCAGCTGCCCAGAGGAAGAGAGGCTTTGCCCGGTCAGGCTTTGAGATAACGCTATCTTCTGCCTTTACAGCTCACGGCTACTTAATACGATATTGTCTCTGGTTTTGTTTGATATCATTAGCATAGTTAGCTTGCGTTACCTCGAAGGGCCCACTTGGCTTGTTTACTGTATTACGTGTATGACCAAACCCTGTTCAAAGTCTCAAACTCTACATAGAAAAAAGGAATGAATATTCATATTGAACAGCCACATCCATTCGGTGCCGTCCTAGTTTTCACACTGACAGCAACATTAAATTAAATTACCATCATTATAACCTCCTCATTTAACAAGTAAAGTAAAGATGGTCCTGTCTGAAATGTCTGCAGTCAAAACTTTTGCCTCAAGTGCAAAATAAATGAGAAGACTACAGGATTTGCCTTGAATTAACATTAGGGTACGTGTAACACAGTTAAAATCTGATCCTTTCACATCATCCGTCATTCATCAGATCATAGTGACACTGAAAAAGCTCCTCACTGGGTAACAACGGCAAGACAATGTCAATTTTTCCTCAGGCAGATTTTCTATTCTCTCTCATATTTCGGTTCAGCACCTTGGTTCGGCCAGCTTTAATCTGGATCTTTGGTTATAATTTACTAAGCTCCACTACTGCCCTTGGCAATGTAACGTTTGCACACACCGACACATTATCATCTCTACTAATAAAATTAATTCGCCTGAAAAATACTTCTGAACATATTGCTGTGTCTGACTGTGAGATTTAAGATCTTTTTTTTCTTTTCTTCTTTTTGGTCGTTTGGTTATCTTCCTAACTGGCATTTTGTCAATGAACTGATAACAATGCTACAAATCTGTTTCGATGAGTGTCCATTGACGCACACATACACCATGTTGTGATAAGCCTAGAAAAAAATAACTTAAATTTCTTGTCATTTCTACATCCGGGACCCATGGATCTGGAAAAGCTGTGAAAGAAAAGAAGAACACAAACATAAGGATTTGTAGATCAATAGCAATCTAATCCATAAACAGTTTATACAATCTATGCTGTGATTTGTAATGATGGTGATGATGATGATGAGAATGGTGATAGAATGAGAGCAAATGACTTTACTGACATGTGTAATGGACAAATGAACAAATACATCCACAGCCATGTCTTAACCACATATTACATGTTTAAAATGTGTGCCCCTTTAACATTTACTTTATTGTTGTATGGTTAAATGTCTTTATATGTGTCCGTTATGTTGTGGGTGTGACTGTGTGGCTCTACGTTGAGACTGTACATACAGTATGTACACAGACTGGGAAGAAGGACATCTAACACTTCTGCTGCACTGAAAGGTCAGGGATATTTCATGTCACAGCATTGGTAATGAGAGCCCATAGAGACACAGTGTTCGATCAATATCTAGTAGGGCTGTGTCAGGTCAGGACTGTTGGACCACACCGAGCATGTCCATGTTCAGACGCTTACACAAGCTGATGTGGGTCATTGTGACAAACAGCGAGAGGGAGTGACATTTTCAGACAGTGGACAATTAGCAAAATTTATCACATGCGAGGTGTTTTGACGAATGGGCATTTTAGATTACGACATCTTAAATCAACACGGGACACATTTTAATTTGTATTTAATGACCTTGAAGCATTTTGTATCCTACATCCTAACGGTTGTAGAGATATGCTCTGAGAGTCTGAAACTGTTGAAACATGTTCTCCTCCTAGCAAAAAATAAGCTTTACTGTAGCATCTTTTTCTAAAAGATGTGGGTCTTTTTTCTGTGATGCCCGCAGTGAAAAGGGACAATGGAGGAAAAGATGATGGTGGTTGTTTCAGGTCAGCCTGGTTTGCTGGCAGACATCATCAGTACACAGTATCTGCACTGGAGGGTGTTGACTGAAATAATGATGAGATTTTCCTTTCTTACATAGTGATATTGAATTATCCCTCGGCCCTACTGATGACTAATTAATGTTATTAGATGTTAGCTGTATTTCTGTACAACAGTTTTAAAATTAGATGGCTTAAAGAACGTGTGGTTCACATTTCTTATGCTCTAAATCAAGGAGTTACAAATATGTAAGAACTAAAATCTCTCTGAAAATGAGATCTATGATACTGTTAACACCTTTTTACCAAGTGATTGACAGGGAAATTTTGTGGTCACCCAGTGGCAGCAAAAAGATAATAGTCGTTATTTATGTCGTTATGGGAATATCCAGGAGTACACTGACAGCAGAAACAGCTGATCAGTCTCATGACATGTCAGCTTCATTAAAAGCATAGCTGCAAATTAAAGCAACAATAGATGTAAAAACACACAGACAACACATCTGTGATCAGTTCCCTAATTTAATTTTAACAATTTTTTCAATCTTTTCTTCTTTCCCGATTTCTCGTTTTATTTTATGGAAGTGATCGATATAAGTGCACTTGCCCTTTAAACTAAAAAAAAAACAAAAAACAAGATGCCTGGTACATTCGTTACAGGCGTATCAGTTCGTAGAACAAGTTTGTAGAACAGTTTTGAACAGTTAGAACAAGACTCCTTCTCGTGGCTGCCTGTGCTTTCCCTGTCCTCGCGGCTGCAACTTGTGCTCTCTTCATCCACTTCATCACCACTGCTGTACACAATTTAAAAACTACAACACCCATAATTCATGTAGGAACTGCTGCAGCCAATATGCAGCCGGTGGGAGCTGCAGGACGACTCAACCACCATGATCAGTTTTTAATGTTTTATCAAGCAATAACTACTCCAGACTCTGCTCTAGTGTAATTTTCTGGACAATTAGGGCAGGATTCGGGATTCGGGACAGCTGCTTGGATTTTGGGATGTCTGGTCACCCTAGCTCCTAATGATGATTTTATCGGCACAGAAGACAACATTTCTCCTGAGTCTCGTATCCAAATGTTAAACAAAAGCAATATCAAAGCCTTAAACTTCAGTGTACAGTTGTTTTCACAGCTGTTTGCATTTGTCTATTAGAAATATTTAAGAGTGTTTTCAGTGAGCACAGGGTTTACTGATGGACAGCTTAGAGGTCATAATCAATGCAGCGCCATGAAACACCCCAGATCTCTGTAGACATCACACACATATATACTCACACACACGCGCACACACACACTATATTCTACTTGGTCTACCCACTAGCACATCTATCGTACAGTTCCTCACCCATTCCCGCCTCTCTTTGGAACAATGAAACATGACTCCCTCATTCTCTAAGCCACTCATTTGGTGTGGTATCTCTCCCTCCCTCCTCCTCCTCCTCCTCATCCTTCGCGGCTTCCTCCTCCTGCATCTCCGCCGGCTTCAATCAGCATGAAGGACGGAGGGGAAAACACAAAAGAAAGGGGAAAAAAACAAAACAAGACAGAAAACAACAAAAAAAATGAACACGCTGATGAGTGTCAGTGAGTGGATAGTGAGAAGCTTAGAGGTAAATACAGAGACAGGCAGATATATATCTATATATCCATATGAAAGAGAGAGAGAGAGAATAGATTGGTACAGAAACAGATAGACAGGAAGACAAAGTGAGAGGTCGATAACAGCAGGAAGGAGAGGGAGAGCTGTGTGAATGATGGAGTGAATGTGTTTGTGAATGACATTTCGAGGCGAGTGACATTTGGAGCTTTCAGTGGAGAGCGCAGGATCAAAGCACACTCGCTTCAATGAGAGGAGATACCCCCCTTCTCTTTCACACATGCCACAACAAAACAGACACACACACATACAAAACAAGGACAGGACCACACATGGACACGCAGCCTTCCAGCTTGATCCTACAGCGGGTCTTTACACGTACATATGTGTGTTGGTGAGGAAAAAAAGTTATGGACGGACACTCACCTTGGTTTTGTGGCTCTGCTCTGTAGCCAGCCCAGATCCCGGAGTGTGAAGCTCCTTGGACACGACACACAGAAACTCAGCCTGGTCCTCTGTTCCATAGCTGTATGAGGAGCCGATGTTCACCATCTAGAAAAAGACACACAGACATGGGCACAGAAAAATATGCAGAGGAGAGAGGGACAGAGACAAAGAGACAGAGTGAGTGTCAGGAAGAATTAGAGATCACAGGAGAGAAAACAAAGCAAGAGAAAGAAAGAAAGTAACGGAGAGATCCCAGACTGAAGCGAGGAAAGACTTCTTGTGCTCATGCATGGCAGGGGGGGCTAAAAAGCGGACAGCCTGCTGTTTCACACTTAGCAGTGGACTCGACAGGAAGCATCTTTTACTTGTAGGAAAAGCACAAACAACTGTGGGTGAGCTTCTGCAGGGAATTGTGTGCAAATCAGAGCTGTGCAGCATGCAGTGGAGCTTGGTGCCAAAGCAGTGGGAAAAGGGGGGGTCTACTTGTGACTTTTAGGGCTACAGTGGGGACGACTGACCTATTAGGACTTCACCAGGCTCTGAGTTGTAAGTCTGTGTGTCACTGTTGCAGAGGACATCTGTGAACTAAAGCCTCCCTTAAGAGGCAAGGCCTTCACCTTAAAAGATAAAGTTAACACTGACAGACGTTCCCTATTTCTGATGTAACAGTGACTAAAAGATGAATAAAACAGTGCCTGCTTTTACTGTGTGTTCACACTGTGAGCAACGGGCTGCTCTACTCTAAGAGATGGTCGATAGTGTGAGGGTAAATACTGGTCTGCAGCTTCGTTTTTTAACATTTGTATGCCACAGTACGACACTTAAAATTTTGACTCTTAGGAGTAGGCTCAGACTCACGATTTTTTCTTTTCAATTAATCGATTAATTATTTGGTCTGAAAAAATACCTAACAATTTCACAAAGCCTAAGTCGACATATTCAAATCGTTTGTTTGGTTCAAGAAGTTTAGACGACTTTTGAAATTGTAATAAATTAATTTACTGTTGATAAAAGTCAAGACGGTCCAACTTAGGGATGTTCCTGATTACTCGACCAGTCTATTAAACGTACCTACCCTAGCTAAGTCGGTGCCAACCTCTTATTAGAAGTATTATCTTGTGCAATTGTGTTAACCCAAAGAAAATGTCATTGTAATAATCAGACACTTTTCCTAAGATTTATTTTCGATAAGTTGTTTTCGATATTTATTTACTTTATTTAGTAAGGTGTAATGGTTTGCAGGATAATGGGCAATAGTTATAAATGCCTGGTGCAAAGTGCCAGACACGTCAGTGGCATTTGAAATACTTTCCATGTTATTGGAAAAAGGTGATTAACAATTCTAACTGGCTCCGTTTATACTGTATATACAATATTTTTCCCGACAATGTTTAACCTTATAGATTAAATGTGCTCAATTTTGACTGACCTTTGTCTGCTGTCTTACTTTCAGACTCGTTGAAGAGTCTCAGTTTAAACGTAAGGGAAATTAGCTGTTAGAATATCGCTACTCTAAGGGGACAAAACATAAGAGAAAAATATCAAAGCAAAAATGTATATTTCTGAGAATATATGTACATAGTGGTCTGAGTCCCTTGCTGGCAGTGAAATCATGCATGGCCACTAGCTCAGCCACGCAAAAAAATTTCATGCGTCCAAAACAGAAACATAAAACTAGCTAACTAGTCTGTGACGCATTTGATTTTGTTGCTCATAATGTGAACACACTGTGTTAAGGTGTTTTTGTCCTACAACACCTAATGGGCACTTGGTTGTCTATGACTCTGATAAATAAACTATAAATCTAACAGCTGGAGACAAACCTCTTTAACAAACACAGTGACTGAAGCCTGTGACTATCCCAGGCCACACCCAGGACTACTCCAGCACCACTGCAGGATGTGGGCCTGATATGGATTCTGAACCCTTGATGAAGGTATGAAGGTAAAAGATACTGAAGACTGGGTGCTGTGCCTGTGGCGGGATGTTTTTTTCTAAGTACAAGTGCAATGGACAATCTTTAAGATTTGACTTGTTGGGACTATCAGTGAAAAAACTCACTAGATTAGTCCAACTTTAGGTCAATAAAGTGATCTTAAGACTGATACTATCTGGGAGTCCTAAACTTTGGGAGTGCAGATAGCAGGGCTCAGGGCCAAGGGGTCAGGCCAAGGGTCAAGATTGAAGGGTCAGCAGCAGCGTGAGTCCAACCCACAGTCCAGAGCAGTCCGGTGCGGGGCTTTCTGCAGGCGCGCACGCTGACCTGCTCAAACTTCCAGCCGTCCGACATTGTGGAGACCATCTGGGTGAGCTCCTCCTCCTGGCACTGCAACACTCGGTAGACATGCTTGGGGGGCACCTGCTGGGGAGAGAGAGAAGAGGGGGTTGAGAAGACAGGGTCACATCTCAGAAGCACATTTATTTCCCTTGTCCGAGCCTTTGCAAGATGGCATGGAGGTGGTGGACAAGAATGAAAGAGAAAAAATAAAGTAGTTGTGGGCTAGTTACAACACCAGCACTTCTATATTCATATTTTGGCACCACATTTGACCTCAGGCAGAGACTAGCTGTGAGTCCAGCAAAGTACAGTAGAACACAGGGAAAGTGGGTGTCTGTTTGAGAGGGCAGCGGGATTATGTAAGTAGTGAGTGCAACCATCCTGAGAAAAGAAAAGAAGCCTGGTGCACTACAGCAGAGCTCTCTTTGGAGAAGCAAAGAAGGGTGAAATCACAAACAAAAAGAAGATGACTGAAAGGCACTGCATCACAATGATGTGTATGTGGATATGTACAATGTGTCTGCTTCTTTTGGGCGCAGACGGTATTGAAAAATATAGTACAGTACATATCGTAAGTGCTGTGTTACAGTATATCTTCAACATCATATGCACATGATGTACTGTATTTGGTAGTTTCATTAAAGACGACTGCAGCGACTGAGGCAATGTGCTGTTAGGTTTTTAAAGCGAACTCTTCGATCATAAAAATAGCCCTACTTGACAGGTTCTGTGTATACCTGTGTGGCTTTGGAGTCCCTCTCCACGATCCTCTCCTTGATCAGTTTGATCAGTGGGGTGATGTTGTAAAACTCAGCCTCCTCCAGGACACCTTGAGACAAAAGAAACATGACTCAGCTCCTGTGTGCACACCGAAGCAGAGTGATTCCCAGCTATGTTTGTCAGACATTATGTTAACCCCACAGTCATGTGTTCATTTGAACAGATTTTTAAATGGATATTATTTAGAAATTAATGAGCGGATATGATTTTTTCCCCTGCAATGAACTATTAGCACCTATTAATCGAGCACTTTCAGATAACTATTACAATCTACAACATTTACTATCTGTATATATAGTATATCATATATTTTCCAGATTTAATAAACTAGAATATAAAGTGCTTAATGAGAAATTACATGACATCAGGCACACCGTATTTGCTTGCCAGTTCCCTATTTCCACCAAGGAAAATATAGAGGAAGGAACAGTCCCAACGACAGTGACAGCGTTCGAGGAGTCAGACTTTGGTGTCAGTTCCATTAGAGTCAATGGGTGAGCACAGCAAATCCCATTTTAACCCAACATATCTTTCTTGTTTCATATTTGACTGAAAAATCCCTCCACCAGATTAAACACACATTCGTATTCCTTGTTACTGATCTCCAAAGAGATCATGGCTCTACCCAGCAGAGGCTGAGATGCAACTCACACCAAAGTCTGACCCCTTGATTGCCATCACTGTCATCGTGACTGATCCTTCTTTCATATTTTTCTTAATTTCTAACTGTCCAGCAAAACCACCTCATGCACCCAGGACCCATCTGAACAGAGTCAAAGCAAATCAAAGACCTTCTTCAGCCAGCTCCTTGTTGTAGACCAGTTTGCCATGCCGCAAGTAGTTGAGGATGGGCCCGAAGTAGGTCGGGTCTCTGTCGATCACATAGGCTCCTGACTCATCCTGTTACACACGAATAATCACAGAGACAGAGAAAAAGAACCCACACATTATAAACTGTACGCAATTACATTGCTTTTCTTGTGTTTTTCCCTAATGAACCATTGGGTTTTTATTGACCTGAACTAGGGCTGTAAACTGAGCACTGTTATTCTATTATTAACTGTGTGTGTTGTAAGTCGTTACAGTACTAAGGACAACTTTTTGTGGTAATGTGTATAAACATAGGATGTGGCTACTTTTATTTTCGGACCATTAATGGAGCTCTTCTGAGATATAACAAGTATTTTTAGATCCAAAAGTTCACCAGCTGGGGAATAACATCCTGGTTGGCTATTTTCATCTTACGTATGCAGTACTGGCTGTCAGAGCAGATGTTTGATGAAGATGAATTGCAGACTCCAAAATAACAGCCCCCTACAGAGCAGATGGAGAACTTTATGAAACTTTTTTTGCCGTATTGCTGCGTTAAAAGGCAGTGCAACTACCTGTAGTCAGATAGGAAAGTAATTCTTCAGCACTGATTATAAAAAGTTCTTGCATTCCCTAATATCACATTAAACTTTGTTGCTCCCTGTTATACAACATTGCTATTTAACATTCCTGCCACAACAACAGCATTTTTGCAGCTGGACACAGAAGCAACTGCTCACTGGAACTCCTGAGTAGTTGTTGCTGACTTTGTTAACACACGTTTGTTGACAGGCTGCCTGTCTCCCACCTCCAGGCTACATCTGCAAAGCCTGCCTGGCTGTTATGTCATGTCTACTGCCCCTCCAACATGCACACAAATCCTCCCTCTGCTCGTTCTCGTGACAAACGCTTAAAGCCCCCTTTTTAGAGTTGACTTCACAAAAGAGCTACAGCTGGAAAAATCCATACAAAAACATACAGGCCTTTAGGAGACCCAGGCGTAGGGATATACAGGGGAAGAGGAAGTTAAATAACATCAGTCACATCTGCTGATCATGTGTCATTAACACATGGTTCAGTGGCCTCTGTAGAAAGCATTCAGGACAGAAAGGAGCACAGAGGCCAACACAAGTACATGTCATTTGGTTCCTCAGTTGAAATCAAACTCCAGACGAGTAAGTCCCACAATTCACAAACCACTGTCACCGCTTTACACCCACTACATGTTTAAAATCGAGACCTTAAAAATAATGGTTAAAGAGGTGGTTAAGTTAAGTGAGAAAAATGAGAAGAAGCTTCATAATGTGAACCTACTGTATTCACATGACTGACTCTTTTCATGATTTGCATTAGTGGCAATGGACAACTGTAGCCTCCAGCCGCATCTTTGCACGTAAGCATGTTAGCGCTTTTATTAGCAGATCCTTAGTGACTCAGACAGCACCACTCACACCAACTGAAATTGTTATGTCCTTTAATTATTTGATTAAAATCCTAACCTCAAATGCTGAATCCAGACATTTGTACAGTGTAGAAACAAAAAAAAGTCAATGTATCTGACATTCCTAATCCAGTTTAGTGGTGTAATTCAGCTGCTGCAGGTAGACCTGATTAGGGTTTAGTGCTGTTATAAATATTTAAGGGGATTAACCGGACTTTCGGGCTGTTCATGCAAAACCCGGTTTGTTTATTTGGAACTGAGAGCTTGAGAGTTCCAGGTTAACAACACAGTTGTCCAATTGAACTGTAGGCAAAAGAGCTGTATTACAGCCAGTTTACGCTTCAGTTATGAGAATCAGAGGCCATACTCTGTCCTACTGGGTGGCGGTGGAGGCTTTCAGGTCACTCTGAAGCCCGGCCCTGTGGGAGTGTGTTTGCTGTGAGGAGGCCAAAGGACAACCTGCAGGTCCTGTGGGTGCTTCAGTTTTCTTTCTTTCTTCCTCATTGGTGCAGCTGTCACCAAGGTGTTACTGGGGTATCAAGGAATTCCTCCTTTCATACACTCCTGTAGGACCACCAACTCCATAGTCCTGCCTCCGCCCCCATCTTATGGAGCTGCAGGTGGTTGCACCAGCTCTTTACCTAAACTTCACCAACTAATAACTTCAGTGTTAGTGGAAATGTATCCATCACTAAATCAAAATGTGCATCACACAAACTGCGTCTTACAAAAGTAGTTGCCAGTGTAGCTGTTGCGTAGCCAACTGAACTGACAAAAACAAATGTTAGCTTGCTAATATAGGAGTGTTTCGTGCGTAATATAGCAGCAATTTGGTTGACACATCTGACCTCACACTTCATACAATGCTGTTTAATAACAACATAGACTGGGACGATTTTAAATTACATTTCTACCACCCATTTTAAACTGCATGAATACTACAAACTCTGACAGACACGCTTCTCCATCTATGCATGTATAACCTAGAAGGGCACTCAGACCTTTCTTCCTTGGCCCATGCTACACCCTTCCACCAAGTTTCATGAAAATCAAGCTGGTAGTTTTTCTGTAATCCTGCTGACAACCAACAAACCGAACCAGATTTATAATTCCTCTGCGGAGGTTATAAAACAAAAATGATGCCTTGATTTAAAAAGGATTGAAAGTTTAACATGTTCTGTTGCTTGTGACAGTACAGTGACTTCCTGTTTACAGATTTGATTGGACAACAACAGATCTTTACCAGCAACCAATTTACCCATTGCTAAGGTTTATTACTGGCAAACACATTCCTTAATAAGTCACTTGTTTGAAACTATCTAGTGCTTAGAGATTGTGTATGCCAGTAAAGCATTGTCGTCTACATCTTCCTCTAATCCATCATCTCCAGTGTGACAGATTTGTAGAACAAGTCCCAGAAGAAACCCACAGTCAGATGGACAGAATCTGCAAGATAGGGACACTCATGATAGATGGTGTCTTGACGCTCATCTCTTCAAGTCCAGCCAATCTTTGCTGGCGAAGCGTGACAGGAGCTTCTGATGAGCCGTTCCCCATGTGAGGCATGGAACGAATGCAATGAACGAGGACACCTACATACACAAATAGACAGATTCAGACTGTAAAGCAGTCCGTAGGATGTGCGATGCTGCTAGATCAGGGATGGATTGGTGGAGAAAAAGGCAAAAAGGCATGACAGAAGACAGAGAGACCTGCAGATCAACAGGAGAAATAAACAGCTAGAAGACTAATATCTTAGAAGAAAACTGCATGACGAATAACCTAATAGAAATGACAGGTAGACGCACTTGCAAATTCCAAGGACAAAGAAGCATAGAGGGACACTGCCATAGAGACGGAGGATGTAGACACATGGGATTTCTGTGTTTGTGTGTGAGACAGAGAGACACAAAGAGAGGATCGAGACAGACAGATGGAGGGACGCGATATGAAGCCCAAAAAGCAGCATGTACAGACACCACTATGCGTCTTTGTGTCTGCACCCAAAATCACAATTATTAGTGTGTGTAAAGGCTGGGACTGCAGCACAGAGCACAGACACATGCACGCACACACCATCCTAAATGAGCGGAGCTGCAGTGGAGGACAGACCGACGCCTCATCAACGTGACTTGACTTGACAGTGTGGGCATGACAACACTGGGGAAAAGCTTCCTGAATGTGTCAGAGCCCCGTTTCTCTTTCTCACGCACACACAGAATCAGTATTGTTATTCATTACGACAGACCCGTTTGCAGCCACAGTACATTCCCTTTCTCACAAGTTGATGTTTTCAGTTGTTGAGAGGACGGGGACGCGTAGTTGGTGAGTTAATGTTTTACAGAGCATTTGTTCAGGGAAATAAGATGTGACTCCACAACATCTCCCTGCAGAGGTAAGTACATCCCACGGGCTGTCACCAATAGCCAAACAAAAGCCCTGTTCACTTCTCAAAACACACATATACACACACGCCTGTCTGCATACTGGTGCTTGCTTGAGCAGGTGTAAATATTAGGGCTGAATGATACTGAAAAATATCAACATTCCAAAATTCTATAGTTTAATTTCGACATAATTTAATATGTATCGCTCAAAAGACATTTTTAAGAGAAAGTAGGGCAGTTGTTAAATTTTTTAGTTGATTGCACATGACACAGTCGCATCAGTCTCATTCAATCAATACTAATTGATCACTTCCTTGTCTTACACAGACTGTGAAATTGTGGCATGGCAAGCATGGAAAAAAGGTTCAGGATAGTATTTCTTTCCTTTTGTCGTGGATTTAGTTAAATATTTAGAAAGCCTGAAGGGGTGCCAAGTTCTTTTTTAAAAGGTGGGAAGTTTTAGTTCTTTACTTTAGCATTTTGTAGCTTTGTAACTAGCACCTTGCCTCTGCCAGTATGGGGTTTTTGATTGTACAAAGTAAAATTCAACATGCAGTTGCTTTAAATCAACCTAATCATTTGAAAGACTAAAATGTCAAGCTTTACTTTAAGCCATTAAAAAGCTAAGGTTGCCACATTTAAGAGTACCATAGTGGGATTAATATGACTAATATCACATTGGAGTCTTTGTGTTATTACTATAACACTGGCATTAATTGTGATGTAGATGTTGAAATACTGTTAATACTGCCTAAGTGAAAACGTGAAAACACACACACACATACAAATATTTGGCCTGCTCATTCTGATCTAAAGGCGGACAAGAGTTGTGGGAAAAAAACTGGACATACGTGAGATATCTAATTACGGATCAGCCTAATTTATCATCCGTCGCACCACAGATGGTCTGGCTGAACCACCGACATCTCGGTGTTGGTGACATTTTTGATGTAGGAGGCATCACGGGAGCTCCACGCTGATTAACACATTTAGATATATGTGCTTCGACTCCATGCTGGGTGAATGAAACAGCTCTGGGTTAAATGCAATCTTTGGATGTTTTAGGAAGTTCTTAAAAGGGCTTGTAACTAATTTGTTTGCTGCAATTGTTTCCAAAGTGGCAGTAACCTTCTCAAGTGCATTTTCTCACCTCACTGCAAACTGTATTACTTTCACCTGTTTTTATGTATTTAAAGGTGGAGTGTGGAACTTTACCATATGAATGAATGACCATTACATTCAAGCCCTTGCCAAATGAGTTC